ACAGACAGGGAGGTTATGGTTAGCGTTTGATTTAATATGTTTAATATGCCTCAAGTAGCCATAACTTGGACACATTCCTTTTAAAATAAACATTTTTTCAAGTGTATTCTCTCCAAGAGCCAAGATGGATTAAAACGCTTGCATACACAGACGAGTGTCATAAAGTTATGTCATGCATGAACAATTAGGAGCGTTTAACTGACTTATACATGATGCAACACATAATAACCACATTACAACTACAAGACACGGCTCACCCGACCTGACAGACGCCTTATAACTGTTAGGTGTGTCTTCTTAAGAGAAACCCATGAGTCGAGACAAGACACTCGACTTCCCCTTTTTACATCTTACCCGTATCCAAATGGAAACAAACAACGCACACATCTGCAGTAATGTGACCGCTGGAAACGTTCAGCACGAGTCTATTCCTGACATAATCACAGTTTTGCTGGCTATTCTTAAGACTCTGTGGGGTTTGTCCCTTTGCACGTAATAGAGAGCCTAAGCCCCTCCCCTTCACCATGGCACCGAAAAAATATTGTATGATAGTCAATGGCGAGAGACAACAAATATTTTGATCTCGTTTGAATTGTGCCCTGAATTACACATATGATGTTTGTCAATTTAAAAGATACATTTTAAAGTCAAGAAAGTCGCAGTTTGATGTGAAACTGTTGAGGTATAAGACTGTGAAAATACGTAATTACAAAGACTACAAACCCCAAAGGCGCACATTTTCTCTCAATGAATGAAGCTCACTTTACTGAAGCTAACTTTACCGAAGCTAACTTTACTGAAGCTAACTTTACTGAAGCTAACTTTACTGAAGCTAACTTTACTGAAGCTAACTTTACCGAAGCTAACTTTACCGAAGCTAACTTTACCGAAGCTAACTTTACTGAAGCTCACTCTACCGAAGCTAACTTTACCGAAGCTAACTTTACTGAAGCTAACTTTACTGAAGCTAACTTTACTGAAGCTAACTTTACTGAAGCTAACTTTACTGAAGCTAACTTTACTGAAGCTAACTTTACTGAAGCTCACTCTACCGAAGCTAACTTTACTGAAGCTAACTTTACCGAAGCTAACTTTACCGAAGCTAACTTTACTGAAGCTATCTTTACTGAAGCTAACTTTACTAAAGCTATCTTTACTGAAGCTCACTTTACCGAAGCTCACTTTACTGAAGCGATCTTTACTGAAGCGATCTTTACCGAAGCGATCTTTACCGAGGCTAACTTTACTGAAGCTCACTTTACTGAAGCTAACTTTACTGAAGCTAACTTTACTGAAGCTAACTTTACTGAAGCTAACTTTACCGAAGCTAACTTTACCGAAGCTAACTTTACTGAAGCTAACTTTACTGAAGCTCACTCTACCGAAGCTAACTTTACTGAAGCTAACTTTACTGAAGCTAACTTTACTGAAGCTAACTTTACTGAAGCTAACTTTACTGAAGCTAACTTTACTGAAGCTAACTTTACTGAAGCTCACTCTACCGAAGCTAACTTTACTGAAGCTAACTTTACTGAAGCTAACTTTACCGAAGCTAACTTTACCGAAGCTAACTTTACTGAAGCTATCTTTACTGAAGCTAACTTTACTGAAGCGATCTTTACTGAAGCTCACTTTACCGAAGCTCACTTTACTGAAGCGATCTTTACTGAAGCGATCTTTACCGAAGCGATCTTTACCGAGGCTAACTTTACCGAAGCTAACTTTACTGAAGCTAACTTTACTGAAGCTAACTTTACTAAAGCTAACTTTACTAAAGCTAACTTTACTGAAGCGATCTTTACCGAAGCGATCTTTACCGAGGCTAACTTTACCGAAGCGATCTTTACCGAAGCGATCTTTACCGAAGCGATCTTTACCAAAGCTAACTTTACTAAAGCTAACTTTACTGAAGCGATCTTCACCGAAGCTAACTTTACTAAAGCTAACTTTACTAAAGCTAACTTTACTAAAGCTAACCTTACTGAAGCTAACTTTACTGAAGCTAACTTTACCGAAGCGATCTTTACCGAAGCGATCTTCACCGAAGCGATCTTCACCAAAGCTAACTTTACTAAAGCTAACTTTACTAAAGCTAACTTTACTAAAGCTAACTTTACCGAAGCGATCTTTACCGAAGCGATCTTTACCGAAGCTAACTTTACCGAAGCTAACTTTACTGAAGCGATCTTTACCGAAGCGATCTTTACCGAAGCGATCTTTACCGAAGCGATCTTTACCGAAGCCATCTTTACCGAAGCGATCTTTACCGAAGCTCTCTTTACCGAAGCTCTCTTTACCGAAGCTCTCTTTACCGAAGCTAACTTTACTGAAGCGATCTTTACCGAAGCGATCTTTACCGAAGCGATCTTTACTGAAACGTACCGAAGCTCTCTTTACCGAAGCTCTCTTTACCGAAGCTCTCTTTACCGAAGCTCTCTTTACCGAAGCGATCTTTACCGAAGCGATCTTTACCGAAGCGATCTTTACCGAAGCGATCTTTACCGAAGCGATCTTTACCGAAGCGATCTTTCCCGAAGCGATCTTTACTGAAACGTACCGAAGCTCTCTTTACCCAAGCGATCTTTACCGAAGCGATCTTTACCGAAGCGATCTTTACCGAAGCGATCTTTACTGAAGCTAACTTTACCGAAGCTAACTTTACTGAAGCTAACTTTACTGAAGCTAACGTCTGTCATTGTTTCTATAGTCTTACGTTATAATCGTAACGTTACGCCGTCATCGAGTGTTTTGTACCAGACTGCACTGCACACGAGCAGCGGATCTCGCTCGTTGTTTCGCTTCCCGGGAGATGTAGTTCATCGAGCGATTTTCACATAAAACTAAATGTTACTCTTCAGTTTTATGACAAACTGCGACTTTCTTGACTTTCAGAATTACCTTTTAAATTGACAAACATCATATGTCTAATTCAGGGCACAGTTCAGACGGAATAAAAAGATAAGTTGTCTCTCGCTACCATATTGACTACCATACATATGTTTTCCGAAATAAGGTCCCATGAGCCGGAAGCGGAGGGGAGGGGCTTAGGCTCTCTATACATGCCACTTTACGGGTGACAATAGACCTTATTCAGAGCGGCGCCATGACAGGTATTTGAATTATGAAAGCGAGGCTGTGAGGGAAAGACTCCTAGATCACTTGGAAAGATATTTTTGTCAGCAGAACAATCCAAAAACACAATAAATAACAGTACAAACTTGTCTATCCCTCACAGCCTCGCTTTCATACCCGTTAAAAGTCAGAGATGGCCCTGCTGTGAACAATCATCCAACGCTGCTTTAACTCTGAACAGCTTCTGACCAATGCATTTCCTTGACTTTCCCAGTTGTTTTTGAACACCGGATAAGGACTTTTATAGAGACCGCACTGATATATTGCTGAACTGCTTCAGGTGTGTTTAACGAGCGCTGGATGTAGTTTGAACAGGTTTTGAGCTAAGGAAAGTAGCCTAGATTCTTAGGCGTTTAACTTTATATTACCACCAGTTGGTTAAATCTCAGTATATTAAAGGATTAGTTCACCTAAAAATGAAAATCATCCCATAATTTACTCACTCTCAAGCCATATGACTTTCTTCTTTCATCTAAACACAATCTATACACACAGAGTTATATTAGAAAATATCCTGACTCTTCCCAGCTTTATAATGGGAGTGAATGGTACCTGAGATTTTAAAGCCCAAAAAAGCACATCCATCCATCATAACAGTAATCCATACGCCTCCAGGGGTTAATAAAGGCCTTCTGAAGCGAAGCCATGCGTTTTTGAAAGAAATAGATCCATATTTATAACTTTATAAACTATAATCACTGTCTTCCGGTACCGGCTGTACGCGAGTCTAGTTTCGGCGAAAGAGTGACCTCTGACCCGACGTATTGACGAACACGGAAGCACAGAGGATAGAGCAAAACAAAACACCAGTCATGAATTTTAAGTCTAAAACAAGAATTTTTGAAGAGAAATGTGGGAGGAGCTTGAGTTTCTTCTTTGAGCTTATGCTACACCTTCATCATGTATCAGGTCAGAGGTCATGCGTCGGGTCAGAGGTCATGTGTCGGGTCAGAGGTCATGTGTCGGGTCAGAGGTCACTCTTCTGCCAGAACTAGACTCACAAACGGTCGTTACCGGAAGCCAGTGATTATAGTTTATTTATAACGTTATAAATATGTATATTTCTCTAACAAAAGCATGGCTTCGCTTCAGAAGGCCTTTATTAACCCCTGGAGGCGTATGGATTACTGTTATGATGGATGGATGCACTTTTTTGGGCTTTAAAATCTCAGGCTCCATTCACTCCCATTATAAAGCTGGGAAGAGCCAGGATATTTTTTAATATTGGATGAAAAATGAAAGGCATATACACCGAGGATGGCGTGGGCCGTGGGGTGAGTAAATTATGGGATAATTTTCATTTTTAGGTGAACTAACCCTTTAAGACAATTGTTTTGTACAAGTTTTCTGTTATGTTTAAATATAGCCAACAAACGAGGCATTAAAATGCACTATTTTAATACAGATACAGAACACTTAAAGTGCTTCTGACTCTTTAAAATCTTTAAATATATGCATTGCAATTGAAATATACATCGCAAATAGATAATGTGCACTAAAATAAAAGCCTAAAAGTTTGTTTTGGATGTTTTCTTCCCACTAGTCTGAAGGAAAACCTCAAAATAGACTTCAAAACTGACCAGTGCATGTAAAAAAACAAACAGGTTTTGATTGTAGTGTCTCGCATTGAATGTTCAAAACACAGTAAGTTATACTTGGGATAAATATGATTATGACTTTGCGTTGACTCACACAGACCAGCACCACAGCTGATGTTTACCTCAGACACTTTAGGTGTTAAATCCCACTGTTTATTTACATTCCGCACGCATATATTTCACCTCAACGACTCTGTCAGCTTTAGAAGTGACTTTTAAAGCTCCTCAAGTGGCCTAGTTTGACTCGTGCTGTCAGATATTCCTCCTCACCTCTTCTGCGCTCTTCCTCAGCGCTTTCTCTCGCTCGTACTGGGTCATGAGCTGCTCGTTGTCCTCCTTCAGGAGCTCCAGGTCCACCTCGTGCTCCTGGTTCACCGCGAACACCGAGTCCAGGTTCTCCAGAACCGCCACGACCAGCGGCATAAGTTCCTTCACCACGTCCTCGTCGTATCTACCGATCATCCGCTCGAACTCGCGGTAAATGGAGCTCGCCAAGCCGGACACCCGCTCGGACATCATCGCAGAAGTGCCCGGGTCCTCCTGGTAAAGCACACCCTCCTCCAACTCCATCTTTACTTCGCTTTTACTTTACTTTAAGACGCTAGCAGGGGACAGCTCGCGCGCTAACCGTCGAGATCTCGGTTTACTAGTGTTGGACTACATTTACGAGTAACTTTTTTTGGAAGCCCCTTCAACATTTAGAGAAAATAAAAACCTCTCCGTTGTCAAGCTAACTCGTCTCGGTTTTTTTATACCGGGATAATCTGCACTAAACGGCAGTCGTTAAGTACTAGAGTCCCGAGTCCCGACCGTCACATGATGACGTCACGCTCCACTGGGGAAGGGGGAGGAGCCAGGGCGTTTGTTGACACCCTTCAAACTTGTGTTTTTTCGGTTCGTTTGTTTAGTTTTACTCTTAAATTGGCATTTAAATATTTGCATATAAACACCGCAATTAAATAGCTTGTTGATTGAAAATTACATTTATATTTTATTATCTGAACGTGTCAAGAGGGAATCAACAAGTGACCAGTTTCTGTAATCTATTTTCACAAACTATTACTATATTATATACACACACACACTGTATATATACAGTATATATGTACACATACATATATATATACATTCATGCACATATACAGGTGAAACTCGAAAAATTAGAATATTGTGCAAAAGTTATAATTTTGATGATTATGTCTTACAGCTTATGAAAATCTCAGAAAATTAGAATATTACATTAAAAAAAGGATTTTAAATACAGAAATGTCAGCCCTCTGACAAGTATAATCATGCATATGTATATAGTTATATATATACTAAATATTAGTTTCACCTTTTAATTTGAATTACTGAAATACATTAACTTTTGCACGATATTCTAATTTTTCAAGTTTACGCATATACACACAAACACACACACACATATATATATATATATTTTTTTTTATAGCAATTGTGGTCACTGTTTCACAAGAACCACTAATAAACATGCATTTTTCAATCTCACTTTTCTCAACATGGACCAGATACATTTTTCCTCAACATTTTTTATTATTGAAAAAAGCACGATACCCTGAAAAACCTGAAACGGCTGCAGAGGAGAAACAGCACAGGCGATCTGAAGCGGAGGAAATGTTTTCATGCGCTCGGTGCCATGCATCAGAGTCTCATACGGCGGATGCGTTTCACTGATCTACAATCAGTGCAAAACACTCTTTTTGGCAAATGATCACACAATTCCCATGTGACAAAGACACATCACAAAAACATAACGCCACCATTACACTCCACTCATAATACTGACTTTTTGAATCGCTCGTCTTTGCACGATCACTAATATGAAATGAATTCTCACATTTGAACAACACAGCATTGCAAATAATGTCATGATGGAGGGAATATACAGCCGTCCGTGAAGCAGACGCACCACTGGGATCATAAGGCAGAAATAAATGCGCATGTTGAATGTCTGTAGGTGAGGTTTGTTAACGCTCAGATGACGTTGAGGTGGCTGTTGCTCATGGAGGACGGGCATAGCGCCGACGGGTGCTGATCTCGGGTCAGACTCCTCAGGGCCCGCAGAACCACATCCGGCATGTGATCCGCCATCATCCTCGGGCTGATCAGAACGTTACGGAACGACGTCTCGCTCGCCCACTCCGCCCGGTACCTCACCTGAGAGAAGCAGTGTCTGTGTGAAGAGAAGAGGTCGACAGACATCAATCCATTTAAATTGGTTTTATTATATATTTTTTTTATTATTATATTTTTAAACTCCCTTTAATTAAATACTCTTTTTAATTTTTTATTATGTATTGTATTCAATTATTTTTATTATTACTATTTTTAATTATTATTTTTAAGATACTCTGTTTTTTATTTAAAAAATATATATTATTAGTTTCAATTATTATATTTATAAATAATTATAATTTATTATTGTAATTAATATTTTAATTATTATATTTACAAAAACCTTTTTAATTAAATACTAATTTTTATTATTATTTATTATTATATTTTTAAACACCGTTTAATTAAATACTCTTTTTAATGTTTTATTATATATTGCATTCAATTAATTTAAAGTTTTTATTATTAAGATACTGTTTTTTATTATACATTTCATTAAAAAATATATTATTAGTTTCAATTATTATATTTATAAATAATTATAATTTATTATTGTAATTAATATTTTAATTATTATATTTACAAAAACCTTTTAAATAAGAAACTCATTTTTTTATTATTTATTATTATATTTTTAAACACCCTTTAATTAAATACTCTTTAATTTTTTATTATATATTGTATTCAATTATTTTTATTATTACTATTTTTAATTATTATTTTTAAGATACTCTGTTTTTTATTATACATTTCATTTAAAAATATATATTATTAGTTTCAATTATTATATTTATAAATAATTATAATTTATTATTCTAATTAATATTTTAATTATTATATTTACAAAAACCTTTTTAATTAAATACTCCATTTTTTTTTTATTATTATATTTTTAAACACCCTTTAATTAAATACTCTTTTAATTTTTTTATTATATATTGTATGCAATTATTTTTAATTATTATTTTTAAGATACTGTTTTTTATTATACATTTCATTAAAAAATATATTATTAGTTTCAATTATTAAAGGTAAGTGTGATGAGTGTTGTGCCGGCTCTGACCTGCGTGTGGGCCCGTCCTCGGTGATGTGCATGACCCGGCCCGGCAGGTACAGGGGTAAGTGTGTGTGGTGGGCGGGCGAGTCGTCAGACGACAGGCTCTGATAGGTTGTCGAGCGTCGCACCAACAGACTCTCCTCGCCTAGCAACGGATGGTTAAGCTCCTCCTCTCTTCGGTTCTCCATCTCCGTGGGGAAATCATCAGGAGTTCCTCCAAACACCTCGTACCAGCAGCCGTGCATTAATATCTTGTACTGAGAGAGAGAGAGAGAGAGAGAGAGAGAGAGAGAGACGAAGCGTTCAAGTCATCTCGTATGATCGTATTTCCCGAGTTGAACGCACATGAAAGTCGTAAATACGAGTGGGAAGTTTGGGATTTTCTCTAAGCCCCGATCTTGACGAGTTGTGTGCGTGTCAGTGAGAAACATGATGGAAAACCACAATACTTACAGGCATTTAGCAGTGATATTGTCAGGCTTTTCTATTTATAGTGCATTAAGACAATTGCCTGCACAAAATATGATGGTATCACAATGTAATATGTAACAATGAAGTTTGCAGTGGCTTCATAAATGAATAAAAAACATAAAAAAACAAAACAAAGTACACCTGATGCTCATTTCTTTGTTCTTCATTTTTCTAGAACTAGAGCTTAAGAACCTTGCAGTATTTTTATTTGTAATTAATTAAGAGAAAGTACACCGCCATCTTGAGTGCATGCCGTCGTAAACACGACTTCCCAAAACTTCCCTGAACCCACCGATAGTAAAAGCAAGTTTAACCCTCATTTAAAAAATATAATAAGATTGAGTGTTCATCAGAGAGTCCAAGTCGTCTGTCGCACTTGAACCACGAATACACACACAAAAAAATGTAATGGAATCGAGGAGTTTTGTTGTTGATATTTTAAACAGTAACAAATCCTTCCCTCGCGGGTCAACCTGACCCCCATAGGAATGAATGGAAAGCGTCCTAAAAATGATAAAACTTTACCAAAAAATTATTTTATAATGTCTACATGTGTATCTGAATACATACTGGAGGGAACTGACTTTAGGACCCAGCGGAACAGCTCAATTGCTCCATATAGAGCTATAAGGCCATCTAGAGTCATGAAATATCATGTTATATACAGGTGAAACTGGAAAAATTAGAATATGGTGCAAAAGTTCATTTATTTCAGTAATTCAACTTAAAAGGTGAAACTAATATATTATATAGACTCATTACATGCAAAGTGAGATATTTCAAGCCTTTATTTGTTATAATGTTGATGATTAGGGCTTGAAAACCTTTTCACAATATTCTAATTTTGAATTTGGGGTTTTCATAAGCTGTAAGCCATAATCATCACAATTATAACAAATAAAGGCTTGAAATATCTCACTTTGCATGTAATGAGTCTATATAATATATTAGTTTCACTTTTTAAATTATGAACTTTTGCACGATATTCAAATTTTTCGAGTTTCACCTGTATATTTTTTCGGCAAAGACACAATGTAAGATATTTTGAGCTGAATTAAAAGGTTTCGGCATGAAATTGTGAGTTATTTTGAATTTAAGTTAAAAGAATGTGAGGAATGTGCTTATATTACTATTTATTTATTGATTAAATCAAGTAATTTAAAGATAAATAATAATAAAACATAACACAAAAAAATATATAACAAAAAAAATAGCATTAAAAAATAGAAAAAAATATTATCAAAACGAAATAAAATAAGCTTTCTGGACAAAAAAACAAACAAATATTAAGTGGAACTTAAAGAATGTATGGACAAGATTTTACGGATTAATCTCCCTTTCACTTTTGACACATTTAATTTGGGAATTCTTAATATGCAAGGCAAAAAGAATCTGAATTGTTAAATGTTTTAAATCATGTTACTAGCAGGAAAAAAGGGAATTACTAGCCAAGAAAGCAAAATTGGGTTGATGTGATGCATGATATATCCATTATGGAGAAACTGACTTCCACTTGTAGATTTGAAATGGATAAATTTGAGAGGTTGTGTAATGGATTCTTGAAATGTATTCGGCCAATAGGATTAGACTTTGTGTGAAACATAATACCTGAGGCACTCCCTGGTTTGTTTTGCTTTTCGTTTTGGGGAAAAAAGATGATGTAGGACAAGATAAAAAATTATGTATTATACAGGGCTGGAATTTCGGCGCGGGATTGCGGGTATTGCGCATAATTCTAATCATTCCCACAGGTCTCCGATTAATAATGCGGGAAATTCCCGCAATCGTAATCCACACAGATTATAAAATCAAATCATTCTTTTAACAACTATCTTCCAGACGCAATTTCACAAACAGCGTGAGTGTTCAGCGGTGTCTTCTATCTCTTCTCTCAAAATGTGTTGTGCAAGGCAAGCATCAAGCGCTGCGGCGATAATACATCGGGCCAGCAGTGCATCGTGACTGAAGTTTACCATTTGCACGTCTTTTTAAGTCTTACCAGTTTAAACATTCAAGCGATTTTAAACTAGTCAGTGCTCGCGCGCTCTCTGAGATGATTTTCTATGCGCACATTCATAGAAAATCCGCCTCAAAAACAGCTGGCTAGTAACAAAAGTTATTTTTCGCGGATTATATTGCTTTAACACGCAAAATGGTCAATTTCGGTGTTCGTGAGTATACTCTAAACATAGTCGGTTTTGTCTTTAATAAGCATAAAACGCATGCCAGTATAATGAACACAGGATCCGTGCACTAGCTCTTAAAGTGACGGCAGCCATATGTGTGTGTGTCATTAATTTTGTTGTCAAAACAACAAAAGACAGCTTTAAGTTAAAGGAATCAGGATTAATAGCCTATGTATTTAATTTATTCAGGACTAAAATACAACCCAGTGTTATTTTCCATTTGATTACTTTATTTAGTTTCTGTATATGAATACTAGTGTTAGACCCAGAGGTGGGAGTAAGTCACTAAATGCAAGTCTCAAGTCAAGTACAAGTCTTAACATTGCAAGTCAAAGTCAAGTCAAGTCATTCTGTTGTAAGGGTCAAGTCAAGTCAAGTCAAGTCAAGTCAAGTCAAGTCAAGTCAAGTCAAGTCAAGTCACACACAGGCTAGTTTTACACATTTTTTAACTCTGGGACTTTTATTACTTATTTAGACACAGAGGGCTGATGGGTTACAAAAATAAATAAATTAACTTAATAAATTAGCATTAAGAAGCACTTTAAATGCTCTAAAATAAAAATAAATTAAATGAACACAAGTCAACAAGAATTAATACAACTTTTCCCATCTTGTAAAAAAAACAACTAAAAAGATATTGCATTGTAAATTAGTAGGCTACTGTATGCCAAAGTTTGTATGTTCTTACTCTAAATATCCAGGTGATTTGATCCCATAACACAAAATATTATATGGAAATTTTAAGAAAACAAATCTAATAATTTAAATGATTTAAACCCGACTATTTTTTAATACGTGGGTCGTTATAACTGACGTTCTCAACTACTTTCTATATTACTTTCTCCCGCCCGCAACATTCATGTTTTGTCCCGCTCCCGCCCGCAAAAAGACTTTTTTCTGTAGCCTACCTCCAAATACTTTTAAGTTAGCCTATGTGTCGCCACCATACACATGAGCATAAATGCTCCTGATAAATTATTTGTTATTAAAGCATTAACACACAAACCACTGTTAGACATAAAAGCAAGCAGCTCCTGCGTCCATGGTTTGGCATGACTGCGCTCCCTTAATAATTCCTAAAAAGCTGACATCAGTTCATCGCGATCTCACACATCTCTGTTATTATCAATGAAGCTTTCAAAATATATACACTTTGTTTGTTATAATTCGAGGATTTGCCAGCATACAGAATTCAGCACTGAACAAAAGGTCAGTTTTGAGCGGTGAGGGGAGTCTATCGTAAATGCTTCTGATTGGCCATTGCGTTCCTAGAAATCAACACACATGTCTGTGATTGGCTACATCGCTCAACGCTGCAGACATGTTAGAAATAGAAATGCACACACAGAGTGAGTGCATTACCGCCCGCGCTCCCTCTTATGACGAATAAAAAATACACAATAATTGAATTTTTTTTTTTTTTCAACAAGTCATTTCAAGTAAATAGGCACAAGACTGAGTCAAGTCTAAAGTCACAAGGAGCAAGTCTAAAGTCAAGTCGAGTCTTTTCAGAGATCTAGTCAGTAAGTCTCAAGTCTCCCACCTCTGGTTAGACCTATTCCAAAACTTTGTTTGTATTTGTATTCTATTGTATTTATTTGTGCTACTTTTTTCAGTTTAATTAAATAATTTAAATCAAGCTTCCTTGTGATGTGTAAATTCTTAACAACAATATTACCCCATTGTAAAAATGCAATGAGCGCAAACATTTAGGCAAGATAAATGTAATAATTTTGTTTGGAAAAAATGCCCCCCCTTCCCCCCCCCCCCCCCCCATGAGAATCATCTAACGGGGGATTTCCCCCCCATTTTCCAAAACGAAATTCAGGCCCTGATTATATATGACCAGATGTGTATTTATGTCTTACAACATCAATAAAAAAAATTTAAAAAATGTTGGGGCTTGGGGTTATTTGGACCCGCGAGTGGAGGATGTGTTGTTTACGCTTGGAGAATAATCTTACCTTTGGTTTACTGCAGTTAGACACCACTTTTAATAATCTTCTTTTCAGGTCTTCCATGTTTGGAATACTCAATCTGCAGAAAGCAGGCGAGGCCAGTCAGTTTGAGGAAGTGATATGAGACGTACAGTACAAACAGAAGTCACACACACACACACACACACACACACACACACACACGATAGCCACAGTTTCATAAACGCAAACGATGTGGCGATATAAATAAACCTCACCTGGGCACAAGATCTTTTCCCAGCACCACCGAGACGACGAACTGCTTCGAGTAATCGGCCAGCGCTTTACTGACGGGAGACAGCAGATACCAGTTCAAAACGATGATGATACAAATGGTTTGAATAATTATTTATAATAATTATAATAATTTTAATGATATAGTTTTCGATTTCAAATAAATGTGAATCATTTCTGAAAGATCACGTGACACTAAAAATTCAGCTTTGATCACAGGAATAAAATACATCTAAAAATACATTACAATAGACAACAGTTCTTTCAATTTGTAATAATATTTCACATTATTACAGTTTTTACTGTATTTTTGAACAAATAAATGCAGCCTTGGTGAGCAAAATAATCTTTTTAAAACATCTTAATTATTCCATATTCCTTCCAATTATTCCTATTATATGTGTCATTTATATATACAGTATATATATATTAGTGCTGTCAAATCAATTAATCATGATTAATCGCATCTAACATAAGTTTGTTTAATATATGTGGATTATATAATTGTATATATATTATTATATATTGTATATACTGTGTGTGTGTGTGTGTGAGTGAGAGAGCGAGAGAGAGAAAGTGTGTGTGTGTGTGAGAGTGTGTGAATGTGTGTGTGTGTGTGAGAGAGAGAGAGAGAGAGAGAGAGAGAGAGAGAGAGAGAGAGAGAGAGAGAGAGAGAGAGAGAGAGTGAGAGAGAGTGAGTGAGTGTGTGTGTGTGTGTGTGTGTGTGTGTGTCACATTACTTCATCAGGCCCCCCCCCCCCCCCGGTGGAGAGAAAGCGAAGCACTCCAGTGTGGGGTGTGTGTGTGTGTTTGTGTGTGCGTGTGTGTGTGTGACATTACCTCATCAGGCCCCCTGGTGGAGAGAATGAGAAGCACTCCAGTGTGGGGGTGCGTGTGTGTGTGTGTGTGTGAGTGTGTGTGTGTGGGTGTGTGACATTACCTCATCAGGCCCCCTGGTGGAGAGAAAGCGAAGCACTCCAGTGTGGGGTGTGTGTGTGTGTGTGTGTGTGTGTGTGACATTACCTCATCAGGCCCCCTGGTGGAGAGAAAGGGAAGCACTCCAGTGTGGGGTGTGTGTGTGTGTCTGTGTGTGACATTACCTCATCAGGCCCCCTGGTGGGGAGAAAGCGAAGCACTCCAGTGTGGGGGGTGTGTGTGTGTGTGTGTGTGTGTGTGTGTGTGTGTGTGTGTGTGTGTGTGACATTACCTCATCAGGCCCCCTGGTGGAGAGAAAGCGAAGCACTCCAGTGTGGGGTGCGTGTGTGTGTGTGTGAGTGTGTGGGTGTGTGTGTGTGTGCGTGTGTGTGTGTGTGTGTGTGTGTGTGTGTGTGTGTGTGTGTGTGTGTGTGTGTGTGTGTGACATTACCTCATCAGGCCCCCTGGTGGAGAGAAAGCGAAGCACTCCAGTGTGGGGTGTGTGTTGTGCAGAAGCACAGCCAGCAGAGACGCCGTTCCTGCACCCAGACTGTGACCTGTGATGACCAGCTTATACTCCTGCAAACACACACACACACACACACACACACACACACACAATCACACAATCACACAATCAGAGCGAGTCCACTGCCACAGGAGAACAAAGCTCAGGTAAAGCTCTCACAGGTGCGATGTTGAACGCCTGGCTCAGAATCCCATCGTTGACCAGTTTCTTGTAGATGTAATGCGCCGCCTGAGAAATGCCCTGCGACAGACAGATGTTCAGGCTAGCCTCTGATGTGCTTCTGATGGACTTGATGAATGTGAGAAATATAAGTGTACCCTTGGGATTTGGTTACCTTGTGAGCATAGCAGGTTCCCGACACGCCTTCGACAGAAATATTCTCACACTCAGCGGAGAGATCCGTCAACACGTCCTGCAAACATATTGCAATGTATTCATAATTCTGAAGCTGAAAATACAGAATTAGTTCACACGAATATGCTTGATCTCTGTCACTGACTAGATATATTTAAAATAATGTAGGACACTTTTTCCTGGTAACATCAGACATTTGCCATTATCAGGACACAAATATCCCCCATTGCATTATTATACATTATATTCAACATTATATACAGCAGTTTAATGCAGTACTGACACTAAAACCCTGAAAACTTGAATTTCTTCCTCAAGAAATTTTATTTTTGGTGAACTATACGATACATATTGTTACATTTTTGTATTGCGATATATTGTGACACGATATACAGCAACTTAAAAGGTGAAACTAATATATTATATAGACTCATTACATGCAAAGTGAGATATTTCAAGCCTTTATTTGTTATAATTGTGATGATTATGGATTACAGCTTATGAAAACCCCAAATTCAAAATTAGAATATTGTGAAAAGGTTTTCATAAGCTGTAAGCCATAATCATCACAATTATAACAAATAAAGGCTTGAAATATCTCACTTTGCATGTAATGAGTCTATATAATATATTAGTTTCACCTTTTAAGTTGAATTACTGAAATAAATGAACTTTTGCACCATATTCTAATTTTTCGAGTTTCTCCTGTATTACACTCGTAGCGCAGACCGATCAGTGTATGACACAAGTACAGTGATATAAATATGCGACAAAAACTCATACAGGGGCATTTTTGCCCTGATATCTTGAATTTTAGGGTAATTCTATCTGCATTCTATGGAAGGTTGTTTCCACCACAGAATGAAAAATAAAAAAGGTAATTGCGACTTTTTATCTCACAATTCTGACTTTTTTTCTCACAATTGCGTGTTATAAAGTCAGAATTGCGTGTTATAAAGTCGTAATAGTGTTGTAAAGTCAGAATTGCGTGAAATAAAGTCGCAATTGTGTTATAAAGTCAGAATGGCGTGAAATAAAGTCGCAATTGTGTGTTATAAAGTCAGAATTGTGAGATATAAAGTTGCAATTGTGTGTTATAGTCAGAATTGTGAGAAATAAAGTCGCAATTGTGTGTTATAAAGTCAGAATTGTGAGAAATAAAGTCGCAATTGTGTGTTATAAAGTCAGAATTGCGTGAAATAAAGTCGCAATTGTGTGTTATAAAGTCGCAATAGTGTTGTAAAGTCAGAATTGCGTGAAATAAAGTCGCATTTGTGTGTTATAAAGTCAGAATTGCGTGAAATAAAGTCGCAATTGTGTGTTATAAAGTCAGAATTGCGAGATATAAAGTCAAAATTGCGAGATATAAAGTCAGAGTTGCGAGATATAAAGTCACAATTGCGAGATATAAAGTCAGAATTGCGAGATATAAAGTTGCAATTGTGTGTTATAAAGTCAGAATTGCGTGAAATAAAGTCGCAATTGTGTTATAAAGTCGCAATTGTGTGTTATAAAGTCAGAATTGCGAGATATAAAGTCGCAATTGTGTGTCATAAAGTCAGAATTGTGAGATATAAAGTTGCAATTGTGTGTTATAAAGTCAGAATTGCGTGAAATAGTCGCAATTGTGTTATAAAGTCGCAATTGTGTGTTATAAAGTCAGAATTGCGTGAAATAAAGTCGCAATTGTGTGTTATAAAGTCAGAATTGCGTGATATAAAGTCGCAATTGTGTGTTATAAAGTCGCAATAGTGTTGTAAAGTCAGAATTGCGTGAAATAAAGTCGCAATTGTGTGTTATAAAGTCGCAATGGTGTTGTAAAGTCAGAATTGCGTGAAATAAAGTCGCGTTTGTGTGTTATAAAGTCAAAATTGCGAGATATAAAGTCAGAATTGCGAGATATAAAGTCACAATTGTGTGTCATAAAGTCAGAATTGTGAGATATAAAGTTGCAATTGTGTGTTATAAAGTCAGAATTGCGTGAAATAAAGTCGCAATTGTGTTATAAAGTCGCAATAGTGTTGTAAAGTCAGAATTGTGAGAAATAAAGTCGCAATTGTGTGTTATAAAGTCAGAATTGCGGGAAATAAAGTCGCAATTGTGTGTTATAAAGTCAGAATTGCGTGATATAAAGTCGCAATTGTGTGTTATAAAGTCAGAATTGCGTGAAATAAAGTCGCAATTGTGTGTTATAAAGTCGCAATAGTGTTGTAAAGTCAGAATTGCGTGAAATAAAGTCGCGTTTGTGTTATAAAGTCAGAATTGCGAGATAAAGTCAAAATTGCGAGATATAAAGTCAGAATTGCGAGATATAAAGTCACAATTGTGTGTCATAAAGTCAGAATTGTGAGATATAAAGTTGCAATTGTGTGTTATAAAGTCAGAATTGCGTGAAATAAAGTCGCAATTGTGTTATAAAGTCGCAATTGTGTGTTATAAAGTCAGAATTGCGAGATATAAAGTCGCAATTGTGTGTCAAAGTCAGAATTGTGAGATATAAAGTTGCAATTGTGTGTTATAAAGTCAGAATTGCGTGAAATAAAGTCGCAATTGTGTTATAAAGTCGCAATTGTGTGTTATAAAGTCAGAATTGCGTGAAATAAAGTCGCAATTGTGTGTGATAAAGTCAGAATTGCGTGATATTAAGTCGCAATTGTGTGTTATAAAGTCAGAATTGCATGAAATAAAGTCGCAATTGTGTGTTATAAAGTCGCAATAGTGTTGTAAAGTCAGAATTGCGTGAAATAAAGTCGCAATTGTGTGTTATAAAGTCGCAATGGTGTTGTAAAGTCAGAATTGCGTGAAATAAAGTCGCGTTTGTGTGTTATAAAGTCACAATTGTGTGTCATAAAGTCAGAATTGTGAGATATAAAGTTGCAATTGTGTGTTATAAAGTCAGAATTGTGTGTCATAAAGTCAGAATTGTGAGATATAAAGTTGCAATTGTGTGTTATAAAGTCACAATTGTGTGTCATAAAGTCAGAATTGTGAGATATAAAGTTGCAATTGTGTGTTATAAAGTCAGAATTGCGTGAAATAAAGTCGCAATTGTGTTATAAAGTCGCAATTGTGTGTTATAAAGTCAGAATTGCGTGAAATAAAGTCGCAATTGTGTGTTATAAAGTCAGAATTGCGTGAAATAAAGTCGCAATTGTGTGTTATAAAGTCAGAATTGCGTGAAATAAAGTCACAATTGCGTGTTATAAAGTCAGAATTTCGAGTCAGAATTTCGAGATAGTCGCAATTGTGAGAAAAAGTCAGAATTGTGAGATAAAAAGTCTCAATTCTGCCTTTTTTTCTCGCAATTGCGACTATTTCTCAGTATTGCAACTTTATATCTCGCAATTGCGACTTTATTTCTCACAATTTTGACTTCATATCTCGCAATTGTGAGATAAAAAGTCGCAATTTTTTTTTTTTTTTTTTTCAGTGGCGGAAACCAGCTTCCATAGCATTCTATAGGCATCATTTAATTATTTTTAAATGTTTTCTTAACTAATCAATTAAATTAACGTGTTAAATCGAAAGCCCTACATATAAAAAGTCCCTTCAGGAATGATTGGCAGACCTCAAGAGTGTAATTTGTTTATGGAAATACCACATAATATGCACATCTGCAGATTTAGGTATGAGTGAAGGATGGTTTGTCAAACATGTTTGCTTTCTTTCTTCAGAGCATCCTGATAATTATCAGTGTATGACCGATGATTTAAACTCACCTTAAGCGACAGCGTCCCCCTCACAGCAACAAGGACCGCCTCCCGCTTATGATCCAACGCCACGAAAAACGGGATCTCGTAGATCTACGGAATAAAGAGACATCGCTGTAGGCATTCTGGCACTGCATAGAGGCTGACAAAAATCACCATTAATCACGTGATTGGGACGGGAAAAAATATCAGCGGGACCGGGAATCGTAATAACACTATGATACTCAACTTTATTCATAAATGTACCGTTTATATAAATAGAGAGTCTAAGTCCCTCCCATTCCGGTCGACCACCATGGGACCTTATTTCGGAAAAATATTGTATGGTAGTCAATGGCGAGAGACAACAAATATTTTGATCTGGTTTGAATTGTTTTGATTTGAACTTTACTGAAGCTAACTTTACCGAAGCTATCTTTTCTGATGCTAACTTTACTGAAGCTAACTTTACCGTAGCTATCTTTACTGATGCTAACTTTACTGATGGTAACTTTACCGAAGCTATCTTCTTTACTGATGCTAACTTTACTGATGCTAACTTTACTGATGCTAACTTTACTGAAGCTAACTTTACTGAAGATAACTTTACTGAAGCTCACTTTACCGAAGCTAACTTTACTGAAGCTCACTTTACCGAAGCTCACTTTACCGAAGCTCACTTTACTGAAGCTAACTTTAGCGAAGATAACTTTACTGAAGATAACTTTACTGAAGATAACTTTACTGAAGATAACTTTACTGAAGCTAACTTTACTGAAGCTAACTTTACTGAAGCTCACTTTACTGAAGCTGACTTTACTGAAGCTAACTTTACTGAAGCTCACTTTCCCGAAGCTCACTTTACTGAAGCTCACTTTACCGAAGCTAACTTTACTGAAGCTAACTTTACTGAAGCTAACTTTACCGAAGCTCACTTTACCGAAGATAACTTTACTGAAGCTCACTTTACCGAAGCTAACTTTACTGAAGCTAACTTTACTGAAGCTCACTTTACCGAAGCTAACTTTACCGAAGCTAACTTTACTGAAGCTCACTTTACTGAAGCTCACTTTACCGAAGCTCACTTTACCGAAGCTCACTTTACCGAAGCTAACTTTACCGAAGCAAACTTTACTGAAGCTCACTTTACCGAAGCTAACTTTAGCGAAGATAACTTTACTGAAGCTCACTTTACTGAAGCTAACTTTACTGAAGCTCACTTTACCGAAGCTAACTTTACTGAAGCTCACTTTACCGAAGCTAACTTTACCGAAGCTAACTTTACCGAAGCTAACTTTACCGAAGCTAACTTTACCGAAGCTCACTTTACCGAAGATAACTTTACTGAAGCTAACTTTACTGATGCTAACTTTACTGATGCTAACTTTACTGAAGCTAACTTTACTGAAGATAACTTTACTGAAGCTCACTTTACCGAAGCTAACTTTACTGAAGCTAACTTTACCGAAGCTCACTTTACCGAAGCTCACTTTACTGAAGCTAACTTTACTGAAGATAACTTTACTGAAGATAACTTTACTGAAGATAACTTTACTGAAGCTAACTTTACTGAAGCTAACTTTACTGAAGCTCACTTTACTGAAGCTGACTTTACTGAAGCTAACTTTACTGAAGCTCACTTTCCCGAAGCTCACTTTACTGAAGCTCACTTTACCGAAGCTAACTTTACTGAAGCTAACTTTACTGAAGCTCACTTTACCGAAGCTCACTTTACCGAAGCTCACTTTACTGAAGCTCACTTTACCGAAGCTAACTTTACTGAAGCTAACTTTACTGAAGCTCACTTTACCGAAGCTAACTTTACCGAAGCTCACTTTACCGAAGCTAACTTTACTGAAGCTCACTTTACTGAAGCTCACTTTACCGAAGCTCACTTTACCGAAGCTCACTTTACCGAAGCTAACTTTACCGAAGCAAACTTTACTGAAGCTCACTTTACCGAAGCTAACTTTAGCGAAGATAACTTTACTGAAGCTCACTTTACTGAAGCTAACTTTACTGAAGCTCACTTTACCGAAGCTAACTTTACTGAAGCTCACTTTACCGAAGCTAACTTTACCGAAGCTAACTTTACCGAAGCTAACTTTACCGAAGCTAACTTTACCGAAGCTCACTTTACCGAAGATAACTTTACTGAAGCTCACTTTACCGAAGCTAACTTTACTGAAGCTAACTTTACCGAAGCTCACTTTACCGAAGCTAACTTTACCGAAGCTCACTTTACCGAAGCTAACTTTACTGAAGCTCACTTTACCGAAGCTCACTTTACCGAAGCTCACTTTACCGAAGCTCACTTTACCGAAGCTAACTTTACCGAAGCTCACTTTACCGAAGATAACTTTAGCGAAGATAACTTTACTGAAGCTCACTTTACTGAAGCTAACTTTACTGAAGCTCACTTTACCGAAGCTAACTTTACTGAAGCTCACTTTACCGAAGCTAACTTTACCGAAGCTAACTTTACTGAAGCTCACTTTACCGAAGCTAACTTTAGCGAAGCTAACTTTACTGAAGCTCACTTTACCGAAGCTAACTTTAGCGAAGCTAACTTTACTGAAGCTCACTTTACCGAAGCTAACTTTACTGAAGCTCACTTTACCGAAGCTCACTTTACCGAAGATAACTTTACTGAAGCTCACTTTACCGAAGATAACTTTACTGAAGCTCACTTTACCGAAGCTAACTTTACTGAAGCTCACTTTACCGAAGCTAACTTTACTGAAGCTAACTTTACTGAAGCTAACTTTACCGAAGCGATCTTTACCGAAGCGATCTTTACCGAAGATAACTTTACTGAAGCTCACTTTACCGAAGCTAACTTTACTGAAGCTATCTTTACTGAAGCTAACTTTACTGAAGCTCACTTTACCGAAGCTAACTTTACCGAAGCTAACTTTACCGAAGCTAACTTTACTGAAGCTAACTTTACCGAAGCTCACTTTAGCGAAGCTAACGTCTGTCATTGTTTCTATAGTCTTGCGTTATAATCGTAACGTTACGCCGTCATCGAGTGTTTTGTACCAGACTGCACTGCACACGAGCAGCGGATCTCGCTCGTTGTTTCGCTTCCCGGGAGATGTAGTTCATCGAGCGATTTTCACATAAAACTAAATGTTACTCTTCAGTTTTATGACAAACTGCGACTTTCTTGACTTTCAGAATCATCTTTTAAATGGACAAACATCATATGTGTAATTCAGGGCACAGTTCAGACGGAATAAAAAGATAAGTTGTCTCTCGCCATTGACTACCATACATATGTTTTCCGAAATAAGGTCCCATGAGCCGGAAGCGGAGGGGCGGGGCTTAGGCTCTCTATAAACTATATATTTTAATTTTGAACTAAATTTTAGTTATCCTGTGTCTTTATGCTCTCCTGTTTGCTTTGGTGTGGCTGGTGACGTGAATGACGTGCTCCACCCGTAACCTTCGGTGGCGGTAATGCATAATAAAGTTGGTGTGCCAATAATATAAGAGAAGAAGAAGGCTTTACATGCACTTTGTAGCCACGAAAATCATAAATCATAATCAAAACGGAGTCAGACGTGAAAGCCACAACTACTGTCTGAAAATGATACCTCAGTTGTGCACACAGACATTTCTGGCCGGTCTTAAGTAACGGTCTGAGTTGAGAAAGGAGGTGTGTGTGTGTATGTATGTGTGTGTGTGTGTGTGTGTGTGTGTGTGTGTGTGTAAGGAGGATTCACATTAAATTGAATGTGTGTGCATTGTTTAAGCTGGCTTAATAAATAAAACATAAAATAACATAAAAAACTACATTTTGGATTGTTATTCAACTACAGTGGGCATGCTGTGATCTGTACTGTATTTTTACTGTAACTGACAGATTCCGGGAGTGGGAGTGAATGGGAGTGGGACGGGAGAGGTTTGAACCCCCACTCCAGTTTGACCCTCTGCTGCACGCGGGTGTGGGACCCTGAGACGTCACCTGGTTATGAAAGCTGATGTGGATGAAGTCTCGGTACTGGAGGCCTGTGCTCTGAAGGATAGAAGTGAAGTGGCAGCCGAGACTGTCTCCTCCCACTAGATCGTACTCCGCCTGACGACTCCGACAGCTGAAACAGAGATCAGTTAGTGCATTCCTGCATTTAAACGGATAGTTCACCCAAAAACGAAAATCAGCCCATGATTTACTCACCCTGAACTCATCCTCAGACGAATTATAATCAATCGGATAGATGCACTTTTATGATGGACAGATGCACTTTTATGATGGATAGATGCACTTTTATGATGGACAGATGCACTTTTATGATGTATAGATGCACTTTTATGATGGACAGATGCACTTTTACGATGGATAGATGCACTTATGATGGATAGATGCACTTTTATGATGGATAGATGCACTTATGATGGACAGATGCACTTTTATGATGGACAGATGCACTTTTATGATGGATAGATGCACTTATGATGGATAGATGCACTTTTATGATGGACAGATGCACTTATGATGGATAGATGCACTTTTATCATGGATAGATGCACTTTTATGATGGATAGATGCACTTTTATCATGGAGGGATTCACTTTAATGGTGGATAGATGCACTTTTATGATGGATAGATGCACTTTTATGATGGACAGATGCACTTATGATGGATAGATGCACTTTTATCATGGATAGATGCACTTTTATCATGGATAGATGCACTTTAATGATGGATAGATGCACTTTAATGATAGATAGATGCACTTATGATGGATAGATGCACTTTTATGATGGACAGATGCACTTATGATGGATAGATGCACTTTTATCATGGATAGATGCACTTTAATGATGGATAGATGCACTTTTATGATGGATAGATGCACTTTTATGATGGATATATGCACTTTTATGATGGATAGATGCACTTTTATGATGGATAGATGCACTTTTATGATGGATAGATGCACTTTTATCATGGAGGGATTCACTTTAATGGTGGATAGATGCACTTTTATGATGGATAGATGCACTTTAATGATGGATAGATGCACTTTAATGATGGATAGATGCACTTTTAACATGGATAGATGCACTTTTAACATGGATAGATGCACTTTTAACATGGATAGATGCACTTTAATGATGGATAGATGCACTTTAATGATAGATAGATGCACTTTAATGATGGATAGATGCACTTTAATGATAGATAGATGCACTTTTATCATGGATAGATGCACTTTTATCATGGATAGATGCACTTTTATCATGGATAGATGCACTTTTATCATGGATAGATGCACTTTTATGATGACAGATGCACTTTAATGATGGATAGATGCACTTTTATGATGGATAGATGCACTTTTATCATGGATAGATGCACTTTTATCATGGATAGATGCACTTTTATGATGGATAGATGCACTTTTATGATGGATAGATGCACTTTTATCATGGATAGATGCACTTTTATCATGGATAGATGCACTTTTATCATGGATAGATGCACTTTTATCATGGACAGATGCACTTTTATGATGGATAGATGCACTTTTATGATGGACAGATGCACTTTTATGATGGATAGATGCACTTTTATGATGGACAGATGCACTTTTATGATGGACAGATGCACTTTTATGATGGATAGATGCACTTTTATGATGGATAGATGCACTTTTATGATGGACAGATGCACTTTTATGATGGACAGATGCACTTTTATGATGGACAGAAGCACTTTTATGATGGATAGATGCACTTTTATGATGGATAGATGCACTTATGATGGATAGATGCACTTTTATCATGGATAGATGCACTTTTATCATGGATAGATGCACTTTTATCATGGACAGATGCACTTTTATGATGGATAGATGCACTTTTATGATGGACAGATGCACTTTTATGATGGATAGATGCACTTTTATGATGGATAGATGCACTTTTATGATGGACAGATGCACTTTTATGATTGACAGATGCACTTTTATGATGGACAGAAGCACTTTTATGATGGATAGATGCACTTTTATGATGGATAGACGCACTTTTATGATGGATAGATGCACTTTTATCATGGATAGATGCACTTTTATCATGGATAGATGCACTTTTATCATGGACAGATGCACTTTTATGATGGATAGATGCACTTTTATGATGGATAGATGCACTTTTATGATGGATAGATGCACTTTTATGATGGATAGATGCACTTTTATGATGGATAGATGCACTTTTATGATGGACAGATGCACTTTTATGATGGACAGATGCACTTTTATGATGGATAGATGCACTTTTATGATGGACAGATGCACTTTTATGATGGACAGATGCACTTTTATGATGGACAGATGCACTTTTATGATGGACAGAAGCACTTTTATCATGATGCATGCACTTTTATGGACTTCAAAACAGAAACAGCCACTATTATTATAAACAGCCATTCACTGCCATTATAAAGCTTGGAAGAGCCAGGACATTTTTTAATATAACTCCGATTGTATTCGTCTGAAAGAAGAGTGTCATATACACCTAGGATGACTTCAGGCCGAGTAAATCATGGCCTAATTTTCATTTTTGGGTGAACTATCCCTTTAATACGGTTAGCGAACTTTAGCAAACTTTATACCCACCAATCTCCACTGAGTTTGCAGAGCCCCGTGAGCGGGTTTGAGTAGACGTACAACGGCCATCCATACGCAGCTGCTGCAAACTGCATACAGTGAGTGGCTTTCTCCAGCTCAATCTCCAGATCCTCCCTCTGGGAAAACACAGCAGAAGTGGCGGATCACAGCATGCACTGAGTATACTTCACATGCATTAAAGGAGTAGTTCACTTCAGAATTAAAATTTCCTGATAGTTTACTCTCTCGCACATCATCCAAGATGTTCATGTCTTTCTTTCTTCAGTGGAAAAGAAATTAAGGTTTTTGAGGAAAACATTCCAGGATTTCTCCATATAGTGACTTCAATGGGGTCCAACAGGTCGAAGGTCCAGATGTGAGTTTCAGTGCAGCTTCAAAGTCTCGACACGATCCAGCCGAGGAATAAGAGTCTGATCTAGACAAACCAGCAGACATTTTATTACAAAATAAACATTTATATACTTTTAACCACAAATGCTCATTTTCAGTTTTTCGTCCACGACTTCACGCATTACGTAATCACGTTGAAAGGTCACGTGTTCCGGTTGAGAAAAGTAGAGTAGAGTGAAAAACTCTCATCTCATTTTCTCCTCCAACTTAAAAATCATCCGACATCGTGTGTTTGACTCAGTCTTTGCACATTCGCTTTGTAAACACTGGGTCTGTTCTTACGCCTACGTCACGCTTGACCTTTCAACGTGATTACGTAACGTGTGTCGCATCACAGCTCGTGCAAGACAAGCATTTGTGGTTAAAAGTATATAAATGTTTATTTTGTTATAAATGTCCGCTGGTTTGTCTAGATCAGACTCTTATTCCTCGGCTGGATCGTGTCGAGACTTTGAAGCTGCACTGAAACTCACATCTGGACCCGTTGGACCCCATTGAAGTCACTATATGGAGAAACCCTGGAGTGTGTTCCTCAAAAACCTTCATTTCTTTTGGACTGAAGAAAGAAAGACGTGAACCTCTTGGATGATGTGCGGGAGAGTACATTTTCATTTTGGAGTGAACTAATCCTTTAACCATTGCAATCTCCCTGTAAACACAGCCTGGCATATTAAATAATAATCAGAAAAATGTAAGTTGCATATCAAATATGATAGAGTGGGCTTTATAGGGTTAATTCCCAGTAATAAGCTCAGACTCACTATCGGGGAGGACGGGCTGTGGGTCAGGACCTCGTCAGGGTCTCTGCTCTGCTCCATCTTGTCCTGTTCCTGATGAAGAAGAGCCAGACCCGCAGCGATATCACTGGGAACCAGGTCTGTGTCCTGGAACAGGTCAGACAGTGGCAGGTTATATATTATATCGGTATCATTTAGATTATCGGTACCGATATTGCAGATTTTTTAATTTATCACTATTGGCTGATACTGTATATTTAACTTTGCATGCTCATTTCCTCTTTCCTATTTCTACATATAGATTACCTTTATTATCTTCTAATGCTCACTTCATCTTAAAAAAAACCCATCTAAATTAGCAAAACTCAAAATAAAGTCAAATCTTTCAACATTGCAATGCCTAAATTCACTTACGTTTAAAAGAACTGTTTTATTTTATTTAGACAATATAGGCAATTTTAATATCAGCCATGTATTGATTATCAGCCTGTATCACATTATTATTATAATTAACTTGACAGTCAGAATTTTAGGTAACACTTTACAATAAGGTCTCATTAGTTGCCAATGCATTAGCAAACATTAATTAATTAACAATGAGCAACAACATTTGATCTTAGTAATGTATTAGTAGATGCTCAGATTACCATTAAATTTGTTCATTGGTAGTTTATGTTAACTAATGCAGTTAGCAATGTTTAGAAATGAAACCTTATTGTAAAGTGTTACCAAAGTCATTTTCATATCATTTGCAAACATGGAAACAGGAGTTTGAGCGCACTACTTTTTTGGTTTCCAAGCACTACAGTCGGAGAGCTCACGTATCAAACAACATCTTTATTATCTTTTACATTCTAAAAATGTAAGTAAAAAGTACAAATATACTAATAAAACAAAATGGTTTAAATAAAGTGCAGCACATGCAAAGACTTTGGCAACTTTAAGTATGGGAACATTAACGAAGCTCTAGAATTTCAGTGCATAAACGAGCAAAAAGATAAAGGGCATAAACTTCTTATATGATAACAGAGAAAAACAAAGGATTTTTTTATTTGTAAAATGTACAGCATTTCATTGTAACTAATTACAAAGAAATTATAGACCATTTGTTACGTTAAAAAAAACACTGATTCACTCCAGAACGAAGCAAAGTGGTAAACAAGGAAATGATTTTAACTTTGAACATATAAGATATACAAAGATATTGCCTTTCTCATTCAAACTGATTTTATTTCCATGAATATATATATGATTGACCTGAAGAATAAAAGCTGTATCATATACTTGGAAATATATGAGAAATATCACACTCATAGCCATGCAAAATGGCTCTATATATCGATATCAGGCAAAAGATTGCATTTGTGTTTTATTGAAAATATTAAACACTAATTTCATATATATTGTCTTTGAATCATTCAAGCACTTTAAAGTACCTTTCCATAAATATGGCTGTTTTCCAGGACTAAAATAATAAATAAATAAATAGTCAAGCACTTTAAAGCCCCACTGAAGTGCCTTGGATCGCGCAGATTTCTTTGATGCGTTGACGTAATTTCCGCTGAAACAGGAAGCGAAGGCGGGACATATTGAATGGCTCCTCCCCCTTTTCAATCAGCCAATAGCGTTTAGTTTACCTCACAGACTGACAGCACCATGGAAGCGAATCCGAGCGCTGATGATACGGTGGATTCAATAGTAGAGATGTGAATAAATTCTAGCCGTTTCATTCTTAACCAACGACGTACAGTTAAAAAACGGACTAAAACTCGAGCGTTTGAGCAACCGAACTAACCCATATTACTCTGTGACGGGTCAACGGTCGCTTCGGCCAGGGGGCGGAGCTTTACATTCTAGAGAGCATTTGATTGGACAGAAGATGTGATGAGAAGCGGTGATGTCATAAAAATCCCTGATCCATTTCAGCGGAAGTGAGAGACTTAGTTTTGAATGCTTAGATCTCCTAAATGCGAATTTTGTCATTGTTTTGGAACAAACCAGCTTATTCATAACCTTAAAGGGATACTCCACTTTTTTTGGAAATAGGCTCATTTTACAACTCCCCCAGAGTTAAACTGTTGAGTTTTACCGTTTTTGAATCCATTCAGCCGATCTCCGGTTCTGGCGGTACCACTTTTAGCATAGCTTAGCATACATCATTGAAGTGGACAAGACCATTAGCATTTCTAAAAAAAAAAATGGCCAAAGAGTTTCGATATTTTTCCTATTTAAAACTTGACTCTTCTGTAGTTACATCGTGCACTAAGACCGACGGAAAATGTAAAGTTGTGATTTTCTAGGCTGATATGGCTAGGAACTATACTCTCATTCCTGCGTAATAATCAAGAAACGTCACTGCCGTACCATGAGTGCAGCAGGCGTAATGATATGACGCAGCGCCTGAAAATAGGCCACCTTCCTTCAACACAACGGAACTATTTCCAGGCGCTGGGTCATATCATTACGCCTGCTGCACTCATGGTACGGCAGTGAAGTTTCTTGATTATTACGCAGGAATGAGAGTATAGTTCCTAGCCATATCAGCCTAGAAAATCACAACTTTACATTTTCCGTCGGTCTTAGTGCACGATGTAACTACAGAAGAGTCAAGTTTTAAATAGGAAAAATATCGAAACTCTTTGGCCATTTTTTTTTTTAGAAATGCTAATGGTCTTGTCCACTTCAATGATGTATGCTAAGCTATGCTAAAAGTGGTACCGCCAGAACCGGAAATCGGCTGAATGGATTCACAAACGGTAAACTCAACAGTTTAACTCTGGGGGAGTTGTAAAATGAGCCTATTTCCAAAAAAAGTGGAGTATCCCTTTAAGGCGAACATATTCATACTAAAAGCTAATAGCACAAAATTTTGATTTCTGGGGCCTTTAAACACCTTGTATGAACCCTGGGCAACAGAACTGGAGCTATATGTGAACAGTGTGCCTGAAATTAAGCAAGTTGAACAAGTTTCTGACCAGGAAGAATCCTCCGACGAGCTGTGCGATGCTGGAGAACGCGGCTCGATGGTTGTCGTCCTGAGGCAGACAGAAGCAGAGGAGACGCAGACGGCTCTCCCACACACGCGAGGCCAGTGTGTGTGCGGTGTAGAAGAGCTGAGACGACTCGCTGCCCTCCAGATCCAGATCCCTCACGTCTGACTGAGCGTCCAGAGAAACCCCCGAGCGCTGGCTCCCCAGAGGGTCGAACACGACCAGCACTCCCACAGCCATAGAGAGAAGGATGATCCAGCTGAGGACCGTCAGGACAGCATTATGAAGGGCGGGTACATTAAAGGGTTAGTTCACCCAAAAATGATGTCATTAATGACTCTGCCTCTTGTCGCTCCGAACCCGTCAGACCTCCGTTCATCTTCAGAACACAGTTTAAGATATTTTAGATTTAGTCCGAGAGCTTTCTGTCCCTCCATTGTAAATGTATGTACGGTATACTGTCCTTGTCCAGAAAGGGAATAAAGACATCATCAAAGTAGTCCATGTGACATCAGTGGGTTAGTTAGAGTGTGTTGAAGCATCGAAAATACATTTTGGTCCAAAAATAACAAAAACTAGGCCTTTATTCAGCATTGTATTGTCTTCCGGTTCTGTTGTGGATCACTGCGGACTCGTGAACGCGGATCCACAACAGAACCGGAAGACAATACAATGCTGAATAAAGGCCTAGTTTTTGTTATTTTTGGACCAAAATGTATTTTCGATGCTTCAACACACTCTAACTAACCCACTGATGTCACATGGACTACTTTGATGATGTCTTTATCTCCTTTCTGGACAAGGACAGTATACCGTACACACATTTACAATGGAGGGACAGAAAGCTCTCGGACTAAATCTAAAATATCTTAAACTGTGTCCCGGAGATGAACGGAGGTCTGACGGGCTTGGGACGACATGAGGGAGAGTCATTAATGACATCATTTTCATTTTTGGGTGAACTAACCCTTTAAAGAGGACATATTATACGCTTTTACAAAGTGTTTACAAGCTTGAATGTTTAAAAAACACATGAGAAGGATGATCCAGCTGAGGACGGGTAAATTAAAGAGGACATATTACACCTTTTAACAAAGTTGAATGTTTAAAGGGCATATTGCAGGTTAGAGGACCCAACGAGTCAATGTATAGAAAAATAATGTAGGAACTAGATTTTCTTTAAAATATTCTTATAAATACGCTACAGAAGCTTCTGGAGTCGTTTTTGTGAGAAAATTGTACTTCCGCGTCTGAAAATGGGCGTGGCGGGCGTGACGTAACGGGCGGGAGAGCGGTCGATTCAAACAACAGGAAAACAATGGATCGCAATGACATTTCGGACGCTGAGGAAGTACTTACTCGTATGACGGAGTCGGACCACACAGCCATACAATTATGAGCCTGCTATGCTGCCGAGAGAGCAGGGATAGGCCAGTATTAATGTTAGACAGAACGGTCAGAGACACATTGAGTTGTGGTGTGAGGAGAACCAGTGGAGAACAGGATAGGTGTCTTGGTGAGAGACGTGCTTATAGATATACACGTTCGCTAACGATATACACTGTGCTCACAATATTGTACAGATTATTACCATCGTATATCAGGCCAGCAGACATTAGTATGTTTAGGGTAGATGTATACTATTAAATGTATAAAAACTATTCTTGAGTATATTTCTATTGTACTAAAAACATACTCAAGTACATTTTTAAAACATATTTTTCATCTGGGTTATAACATAAACAGAAAATTAAAGATTTGAATATTTAATCAACCTGAGTAATTTTGTTTTTCAATTACAAGTTGCTCTATTTAGGGCATGACTACCTATATCACACTATTTGATGCCATTGGTACAGTATACGACGATCAATATTCTTGCTTCGGCATCCCATGTTAAACTCCATCATATCGCCGGGATGATAATCCTCCGATCTGAAGTGAACGCTACACACGATCTGAAGTGAAAGCTACACACGATCTGAAGTGAAAGCTACACACGACCGCGGTTCTCGAAGCCGATGCGGAAGAGAAATCCCGTCTCTTCACCGGCACAAACCGCACCAGGCACGAAAGATATACAGCACCGTCCCTTTTCTTGTTATGGAAACCTGTGGACTCGATGTCCTGACAGGCCGGAGTTTTTGCAACCTCCACAAACACAATAATTTACCATGACGATGATAGATTGAAATACAAAAACTACCGAAAACACACTGACTCACGGCCGCTCTCACTGAACACCAGCCTGATCTGCACTGAGGCGAGGCTGAGGATCCCTAGCGTGACGTAAAATGACGCGATGTTGAAAAAAAAGCCGTTTTTACGAGCAGTCCAAGAAACGCTCACTTTATCTACTAAATTAGTGCCCTTATGTCGTTTTAAAACATTTTAAATCCTGCATTACCTTTTCATATGGTATTTTCATACAAGGTTATATATTAATTTAGATTTTTTTTTTACCTGCAATATGCTCTTTAAAGGGTAACTAAACACTAAACCAACTTTTTTTTAGTTAATGATCTGTAAGACTGGGGCTTTATTAGTGCTGTTCATTGATTCGAGTAACTTTTTTGACATTTGGGTATAAAGTGTTTTAATTCTACAATATATGGTGTAAAAACGTCTGAGTGCTGCCCTCTTCAGGTTGAACGGTGGCTACTGCAGTTGAATTTTCCTATTGGATGTTTGCGGTGGTTCGTGATGGGAGCGGTGAGAGCTGACGTAAGCAGGTTTCAGCTCACCACGCCCTTGGCACGTCCATGGCAGTATAAAAACCATCTTGTTTCATCAAAACCACTGTAGCGAGTCAGGAGTTGGAATTGCGAGTATTGAAAACGATCCGGATAGAGTATCCGTTCATCCCCTCTATCTCCGCCCACTTTTCCAGCATTTTTCAAATATTGCCAGTGGGTGGAGTCAGGCTCTGACCAGGGGTTTAGTTACCCTTTAAAAAACACATTATCTGACATTATTGCGGCTCCTCTCTTCCCAGTCTGTCAGTAACGCTCTGTTTACTTCCTGTCTCTATGAAGCCCCTCCTTCTGAAAGCACACTGTGCTCTGATTGGTCGGCTGGGGCAGTGTGTTGTGATTGGTCGAGCGCTTCGAGTGTGTTTGGGAAACGTCCCGCCCCTAATTACCATAACCGCCAGTTTAACACACTACTAACTAACTCAACCAGGCCCCGCCCCTTTATTCTGCGCATTAATTATTATAATGAGGAATATTGTGACGTGTTCGTTCCCGGAAGAAACTCAAGACTACAATGGAGGCGTTTCTTATTTTATGAGCATTTCGGAGCTTCAGAGTTTGATCATACTTTACGAAACCAAGATAACAGTGTTAATATAAAATAAAAAGAGTTCATTCTAAAAGGATGATGATGATGATGACATTATGAGAGTTATTTTGATTTAAATCACAGATACAAAATATGATTGTAACACACAATAATACACCATATAAAATGTAATCTAAAACTATTGTGTGCTATCTTTTGTGTCCTTATATTTATCTTTAATACAAATTTGAATATATGCTACCGAGGCAAGAACGAGTTGGAAACACAATTCAAGTCATTTTGTAAACAAACATTACTGTTCAAAGGCTTTAAAAATACAGTAAAAATTGTGAAATATTTTTTACAAACTAAAACATTTGTTTTCTATGTGAATATACAGTAAAGTGTAATTTATTCCTGTGATCAAAGCTGTATTTTCAGCATCATTACTCCAGTCTTCAGTGTCACATGATCCTTCAGAAATCACTCTAATATGAAGATCTGATGCTCGAGACACATTTGAAAACAGTTTATACATTCTTTGATGAACAAATGTCATGTTTGATGTTCTTTTGAACTTTCTGTTCATGTCTTTACTGTCAATTATGATCCTTTTTAATGAATCCTGGCTGGATAAAAGCATGCAAGTGCATTTTTGGGAAAGGAATATTGTTCAATATGTTTTCCTGACCTGGAAACCACCGCTCCGATCACCGCCCCGACCTCCTCCGGCTTGCACCCTGTGCTGTTATCCGACACCCAGACGGCCCCCAGGACGGCCCACACGAGCTCAGGAACGTACAGAACCGCACGCAGATACACCAGGGCCGGCATCGAGCGCCGGGGACCCGGGTTCATTATGGTTCCTAAGACCAATCACAGCAGAATTACATTGCATCATTACACACACAGGAGAATTCCCATCATGCATCGGGTCCGGGAGAGACACGTACCTTGAGCACTGACGTAAACAACTGCACATAATGTGAAGATGATGGCAGCCAAAAGCACAAGAAGAACTACAAGGTAATTATGCAAATACGCTCCACCTTGACAGTCAAATCGTCCCTTATGGTTAATGTACACAACTAAGGTCACGACCCACCTAAGAGACAAGAGAGCTTTCAGAAACAACAAATAGGCTACTACCTTATTTTACCATAGTATTGCCATGGAACATGGATAATTAATATGCTAATGCCATGTTTATGAGCGTGCAGTGATGAATATCTAGGTAACTTCGCAGTTATAGAGTTTCTTGTACAATGGGATTTGTTTTTAAAAGCCATCCCAGCAATCAGGGAACTTTGAATAACGTTACAGTTGAACAAACATAATTATAGTATTAATGTTAATAGTTAGTAATTACGGCTAGGGAAAAAAAAGTCTTTTTTTAAAATGTGGTTGAGTCAACGTCGATTCTCAAAAAAAGCCACGAATCAATATTTTTTCCCTATTTCCATAAGCATTGAATATAATATCTGATTGACGTTACTCGTATTACTAGTCTTCTTCACATCTTCTTGCGCTTGAACGGACAAGTTCACACAAAATTCTCAAAACGCATGTGTGTCGGATCCGTGTTTTCGGTCTTAAAGTGACAGCAACCTAATAAACCTGTTGCTGTATGTGTCATTAATGATAACCAAACGACAAAAGACAAAGAAATAAAAACACTCTGCTCTTGACTGTCTAACTTTTGCAACTTTAATAAGTCATAATCCATATTTAATTTATACAGACTATGCAGTTATTTCACATTTGATTACTTTATTCAATTTCTGTACCTAAAAACTACCGTTTGACCAACCTGATTTTTTTATTTATGTTTGTTTTATTGTATTTATGTATTTGTGTTATTGGTTGTAGGCTACTTTGGTTATTTGTTCTTTTTTATTAATGGCTTTAATAATCTTTGACATTTATATTAGATCGTAGCTTTCGCTGTGGAATCGAACCTGCATTGCGAAATTTCACAGGTATCTAAAATTTGTGTCATAACATTAATAACACAAGGATGGTTAAAAAAACTTTTTTAATTTTTTTTGTTTGTTTGTTTTTGTGGTGGGATCAGTGAAAATGATTCATTGAATCGAATCGGGACATCTGAATCGATACCAAGCCCTATTAGTAATTGTAGTTATCTGATATTGTTCTCAAAACATTCAGAAAACGTTATACCTGAATGTTTTCTGAATGTTAAAAAAACCCGTCATGTTTTAATAACTAAGTTATACAAAATATTCAATTTTATCATTTTGCAAACATCGACATGGGAACTTACTTTTGAAAACGTCAGCACAAAAACAATATTTATACACCGTTCATGACACGTTTTATTAAAAAAAAAATACTACTTGTTTCAGAATGTTTAGAGAACATTGATGATTAAAAACTGGACGTTTCGAACGTCCAGAAATATATTTTTTCTAATGGAAACGTTAGCAACACCGATCTCAGAACGTATTTTTCCTAGCTGTGATAGATTATGAATATGGCAATCATTCAATACCGTGGTACAAGTGTTACACAATTCCCAAAAATCCCAAGCAAGCCAACTCAACTGCAGTTCTTACCACAGAGCCCTGATAAATAACTCGAAGGCGCCAGGAAACACAAGATCATCGCTGGCGATTCGCCATCGGCGTCCAAGCACCACCATTGCGGGCATCCTGACGGTTTACAACTTCAAACCAGCCTTTCAGTCGCGATCATAAACGTATGACAGTGAACATTACAGAACCCATGACTCTGCCCGCCTGTAATCTTGATATTACAACATGGTAATAAACGACTCGTTCACTGACATCTCTCCGCAGCGGGGCGGGTTTGTTTTCCCTTCTCTGTGTCGCAGCGAAATGTGTCCGGAACGGAGAAATGAAGTAACTTCCGGCAGTAAAGTAGTTCTGTATTAGAAAGACTCGTCAAAAATAGTGATTTATTGCTTTACAATAAAGCAATGTGCTGTATAATCTGAAATCTTTAACAATTAAACAAATATTCGCAATATTTACAACAATAATATAACTTACTATCCGCTTCCGCCCCTTCAGTCAAATCGTCGGTTTTCGGTTGTAATCGGACGCGTCCGGAAAAGATCATAAAGATACACAGTTCAATGGAGTTCAGGTTGATTCTTGAACTGATTCATTCAAACAATCCGATTCAAAAGAACAATGTGTTCACATCAATACAATGCCACAGCCCACAGGACAATATTCAAAAGGTTCGGTTTTTTCGTGTTGATGATGACATTAGGCTGAATATACGTGGCTTTATGAATCAAAACAAAATGGCATTCAATTTTCAAAACAAGCAGTGTTTCCCATTAAATCTTTATTTGAGGCTGTAGCACCATGCAAAAGCTCAGTTGAAAGCAAACCCAACACCTCTGCTTTTAAAATAAAGTGGTTATTATTGATTTTTTTTTTAATTGTCTGCTAGGTTCTCTCCATTAAATATCGTATAGATCAGAAATAAAATTAACACCTCACCAATTTACATTTTGATATTAATAAAGTAACACTGGTCAAAACTTTCTGCTGAAAAAAGTGAATAAAGATTAATATTTGGCCTGTCCAAGTTTCAGCCGATCATTTTACACCTTTAAAAAAATGAAAACCCTCAAAGCAATCAAACTGTAGGTGAAGTTTCAGAAGAAAAAAATCCTAAAAATAAACGGCATAATAATCCTTGAGAACATTTGTACGGTTTATTTTTTGGTTCTTTAAGAAGCCATTTACAGTGATAAAGGCAGTGTCAATACTATACGCTGACAGTGGCGGTTCCCATGTGTTGAGCTGTTTTTAACTATAAATTTGACATTTTTCCATCTTTCAAACATTGAAATTGTGTTATTTGAACCTAATTAGACACGCGGTTTGGGGAACCGCTAGATTATGACCGACCTTCTTTAACAAATGATTATTGCATGAAGAAATACAGCAAAAACATAATTTTTTTCCATTCAATTTTATCCTACGGAGCAACAAACACCCCCTTAATCTTCTTGAAAACATGTACATTTAATCAGATTGAAAATACTCTTACAAACAAAATCAATATTCATCATAAGAATCAGTCCCTGCCTGTTAGCATTGCCTGATGAGGCGATTTCAGCTCGTTTGTGATGCCGTCGGTCAAATCATAGCACACGTTTCATGTAGAAAACTTTCTTTTATACAGAATAATAAAAAAGGGTAAGACAAGATGCATAAAACAGGAATCCGAAAAGCCACGGTACGGCCTGGGCTTGAATCCAGAGCACCTGATGTGACCAGGAACGGATCTCATCTTCCGCACTCACTCGTCTCACTCGTCCTCAGCGTCTCGCTCCGGTCCGAGACCCTTACGCTGGCAGACTCAGCTTCTTTCCTTTCAACACTGAAGAGAGACGGACAACAATGAGATTAGAACTAGATTTATTAAGGAGGTCCTGGGCTCTACTAGAACAGGTTTTCCTGCTTGAATGTTGATTATTTTCCTCATATTCTCCATTGTTGCAGCTCCTCTCTTCCCAGTCTGTCAGTAACGCTCTGTTTACTTCCTGTCTCTATGAAGCCCCTCCTTCTGAAAAGCACACTGTGCTCTGATTGGTCAGCTGGAGCAGTGTGTTGGGATTGGTCGAGCGCTTCGAGTGTGTTTGGGAAATGTCCCGCCCCTAATTACCATAACCGTCAGTTTAACACACTACTAACTAACTCAACCAGGCCCCGCCCCTTTATTCAGCGTATGAATTATTTAAATGAGGAATATTGTGACGTGTTCGTTCCCAAAATGGTTGGTTATTTGTATAACTAAAAGTGTCAAGCATTGCAAAAAGTAGCAGTTCTATTTCTAAAGCTTTTCTAAAACATTCTATTGGTCTTGAGTATTTAAATTCAGTGACAGATAAAGGAATATGGCATCCCGTAGGTTTTTTTGTGCTTTAATTCCTGAACCGGCATGGATGGGTGTTTCCGTACCGATTAGTGTGACAGTGATGTTTGATCATTGCTAAAATTCAAATAATTTACCACATTGATTCCACAATCTTTTCAGTTTTACAGCTGCAACATCAAGACAGTGATTCTCAGTAGGGATGAACCGATATGAATATTTAGGCAGATACCGATAACTCTTTATATTTGAAAGCCGATAACCGATATATTGGATGACAAATTTACATTTTTGAGAGCCTGATTACAAAAACAAAAGTCTCCATTAAATCCATGTCCCAAGCTAGGGATAATCGGTATGAATATTTAGGCCGATACCGATAACCGATAACTCTTTATATTTGAAAGCCGATAACCGATTTATTGGCCGACAAATTTACATTTTTTAAAAACTTTTTACAAAAACAAAAGTCTCCATTAAAATCAATGTCCCAAGCTAGGGATAATCGGTATGAATATTTAGGCCGATACTGATAACTCTTTATATTTGAAAGCCGATAACCGATATATTGGCCGATAAATTTAAAATTTTTGAGAGCCTGATTACAAAACAAAAGTCTCCATTAAATCCATGTCCCAAGCTAGGGATAATCGGTATGAATATTTAGGCCGATACGATAACTCTTTATATTTGAAAGCTGATAATCGATATATTGGCTGATTAATCTAAATTTTTATATAATTTTTGAAACCCTGATTACAAAAACAAAAGTCTCATCATGTCCCAAACACACAATTATAATGATGTTCTCACGCAGCGCATGTTGCACTGAACTCTATTTTCCTTTTTTTAAGTGATTCCAATTCAAAACCATCATGTTGAACAGTGCACAACTGAAGTGTCTCAGCTGAAGGAAATAATACATTATTTATCCGCGTTATTATTATATTGGCCAAATGTTCTTATCGGTGCCGATAACCATATCAGTATCGGCTGATATATGATCATTTTCAATGTTATCGTTATCGGCCCGATAAGAAAATTTGGCTGATATATTAAAGCTGATAAATACTGTATTATGTCCTTCAGCTGAGATGCTTCAGATGTGCACTGTTCAACATGATGGTTTTAAATGGCTTGAAATATGATTGGAATCACTTAAAAAAGGAAAATAGAGTTCAGTGCAACATATATTCATTTTGGCTACATAAAATTATAATGAGAACATTATTATAATTGTGTGATTGGGACATGATGAGAGTTCTGTTTTTGTAATCAGGCTCTCAAAAATAATATAAACATTTGAATTTAGATTCATCACCCAAAATATCGGTTATCGGCTTTCAGATATATAAAGAATTATCGGTTATCGGCAAAAATGTGCATCCCTATTAGGGGTGGAACGGTACACAGAAGTCACGGTTCGGTTCATACCTCGGTTCAGACATCACGGTTCGGTACGATTTCGGTACAATGGAGTGAAAAGCAAAGCAAAAATGCAGAAGGCATTTTTATAAATGTCTTAAACCTTGTATTTTTTTAAATAAGTTTTATTAATAAAGGCATAGAACCAGTTTAATTGTAGTGCACTGACAGTAGTTTTATATAATTAGTTTATTAATTAAATTATTAAAAAGACGAAAAGACCTTGAGATATGTTTGGTAATTGTACCTGAATGAATTTAAAATTAATTTGCTATTTCAGATCAAGATATTTGTTTTCCTTCATTTTAATTAACTAACTTTATTCTCATCTGAATTATAAATAATTGATTTCCGTATAAAATAATACTACCATAAAAACTTTTGTTAACAGTTGTAGGTTACAGTTTGACAAGAGTTTAGAGTGTGACAAAAGCACAATGTTGTGTTTTATTGCCAGTGTACACAAATATAAGTAAACAATTTGCAGTTTTAATGATGTCCTGTATGAAAAAAATGACGGAGTATGTTTTTACGTTTCCACTGTTCGATCGCCCGTGCCTCTCTCTCTCTCACACACACACACACACACACACACACTGTTCATCGCGCGATTCGCGCCCGCGCCTCTCTCTCTCTCGCACGCGCGCGCACACACACACACACACACTGTTCATCGCGCGATTCGCGCCCGCGCCTCTCTCTCTCGCGCGCGCGCACACACACACACACACACACACACACACACACACACACACACACACACACACACTGTTCATCGCGCGATTCGCGCCCGCGCCTCTCTCTCTCTCGCACGCGCGCGCACACACACACACACTGTTCGATCGCGCCTCTCTCTCTCTCGCACACACACACACACTGTTCATCGCGCCTCTCTCTCTCTCTCTCTCTCTCTCTCTCTCGCGCACACAGACACACACACTCCTGCATTGCAATCTTGATCGCAGCCTGTTCATTGCTGCGTTAACAGTCACACCAAAAGCGAATAGAGCGAAATTTATCGCTATTTAAGAGGGGTTTTTTTTATTTGTACCGTGTATTCTGCGTGCAAATTCGTGCACCGAACCGTGACGCCCGTACCGTTTCGGTTCAATACGAATACATGTACCGTTCCACCCCTAATCCCTATTCATAACCATTCGCACTAATAAGTACAAACAAACACCACGTCTAAAGGGTTTTTAAACCAGAAATCAGAAAACACACCTTTTGTTACGTATAGATAAAAGAAATCACAGTAGAGGATTGTCTGGACGACGCCGGCGACGATGGCGATCATGTCGAAGAATCCTTCGAAGTAGAAGCGCCAGATCCAGTTGATGAGATACAGGGCTCGGTACAGGCCGAGGAAGAACAGGTAGTGTGTGGTGATGGTCTCGGCTTCTCCAGTCTTACTGATCATGAACAGCTGTGGAAGAATGGCCACCGACTCCAGATAGATGGAGAACGTCCACAGGATCTAGAACGAAGAGATCATTAATACTAACACTTTCTCTTCTATTCTAGATTTAATTTAACATTCAACAATAATATTGATCTGCCTGGATTAACACCATTATATGAGAACTGAACAGAGCTGGACGATGACATCACAGTTTTCTCCAGAGCGGCTATATATATAAATGAACTAAATTAATAACTTTTTTACAACAGAAATGAACCATCACTGAACATACATAAAGGGTTAGTTCACCCAAAAATGTAAACTCTGTCAGTAATGACTCTCCCTCATGTTGTTCAACCCCGTAAGACTTTCTTTCATCTTCACAACACAAATTAAGATATTTTTGATTAAATCTGAGAGCTGTCTCACTCCTCCATAGGCTTCTATGTTATTAGTCACACGTAGGCTCACTATTGGCCAGCATCACACGCATCACACACGACCAGCATCGGCCAATAGTGAGCCTACGTTCTTACGTACAACCCAGAAGCGCTGCGCTGTTACACTACGCGAACTCACTCGAGGCCCACAGAGAAGAACATGAATAGTTGAATAAAGTCGTTATTTTTGTTTTTTGCGCACAAAAAGTATCTCGCCGCTTGATAAACTTAAGGTTGAGCCGCTGCAGTCACTCGGACTATTTTAACAATGTCTTTAATAACTTTCTGGCAAGTTTCGATCCCTTAGAAGCCTATGGAGGAGTGATCCAGCTCTCAGATTTAATCAGAAATATTTTAATTTGTGTTCTGAAGATGAACCAAAGTCTTACGGGGTTGAACAATATGAGGGAGTAATTACTGACAGAGTTTTAATTTTTGGGTGAACTATCCCTTTAAGCTGGACTTTTCTTCTGGAAACACACTGTTTTACATTATTTTCCAGCTATCTCTGGAAAGCTGCTTTGAGGCGTTGCCAAATCGCGCGCGGTTTCATTGCGATTAATCGTGCAGCGCTAGTTTTCAACCAGTGAATACATGAGTAGCTCTCTCTCTCTCTCACACACACACACACACCTCCAGAGGAGAGAAGTCATGGTTGACGAGGAACGCCAGGCCTCCGACTGGGACCACCAGGAACTCCACCCTGAACGTGTCGTGGTTTCCATCATACGTGGCCTTGAACTTGGCATATATCAGGTAAACCGTGGCATAGGCACATGCGATGTAGATGATCTACATGGGGAACATGCAACAAAACATCGTTACAAGAAAAGTCCAGGGCTCTTTGGACATTTTAGACAGAAAAATTACAGTTTTTGTACACCCTTAGGAAATTGTACAAAACTGTCTGGGTGACGACTTGCGTGGCACTTGCAATACGAACACACACAAAAATCGTGGACATGATTGGAAAGAGTTCATTGGTCTTTAAATAAAAGGTCAGATCTGTGATCTTTGTGGTCAGAAATGACATTTCCATTGAAAATTAATGGGAAATGTGAGAAATACAAAAACAAAGAGTATTTCTAATCGGTTAAAAAACAAAACAAAACAAAAAAACAGCCCCGATTAAGGTTTTGATGATGTCTAAAAAAAATGTCAAAACAGAAAACGTCATAAAATTAGGTAATTGTGTTTGAAAATACTGTTATAAGCAACTAGGGAATATAAGGCAGGTTTGCATTTATGTCATATTTAAGTCCTTAAAATCAGTACATTTATTTATTGTACACACACACACACTTGATGCTCTATTTTTAACGTTAACACTGAATATCATTCAATAATTAAAAGTTTTTTTTAATATTCATTATTTTATTTATAAATTAGTATGCATAATTTTGAGGTGAATATTGTCTAGCATCATGACATATATATATATATATATATATTATATATATAAAATGGCATATATATACAGTATATAACATACATAATATATTACATAGTATAGAAAAAATTCAGCTTATTATCTTCAGTCTGTATTGAACACCAGAGGGTTACCGGAGTCTTTTTACTGGCGGATATTCTGTAATGTCTGACATGTCCAAAACCATTTGACAAGATTACTTTTCAGTGACATCCACAATACAAATCTGACACTAATTGCATAATAAATTGTAAGTGGAGTAAACCACATCCATATCCTACAATCAAAAAACAAACAAACCCTGATTGTCTTTTAACTGATTTCCTCCATTCATTTTTCAGCAAGCTTTCTCTTATAGCACAGCAAATACTGTACCTCAATATATTACAAGAATGAGGAAAAAGACATGAATACGAGCATGTTTTAAGTGGAGGGATGATCAAATTCACCTTCATGAAGGAGTTGTAGAAGGAGATGAAGGCCGTGAGCAGGTCCAGATAGCGAGTGGTGAACACCAAAGCAAACAGAATCTGACTCTTCCCAGATATTCCTGGAACACAAACAACAACAACACGCATGTCAACACAATTCACAGTCATAAACATGCATAATGCTGCTAAAGCATGCACAAATGTACAGTTCCAGTACAGTGAGCTCACAGCACAACATTACAGTGAGTGTTTATGGAAAATTAATAATATTCTAATGACATCCTGCTGCCACGTCACGGGTCAGAGCATGCAATCAGAATGAATGAATGAACTTTATCTACAGTCTGATAACATACAGTGCAAAACTCCAAAGTTAAACGGGGTTTATAACATTCAGTTTGTTTAAAGCACTAATGCTTTTGTTTTATGTCATGCAACTCAGTCTAAAACCAAACTGTAGCGCTAGATTAAACTTTTAAGTGATGCAACTCACAAACGTGCATGAAAACAGATTAAAAACACACACAAACTACTGTCATTACACACGCCAAAAATCATCCTTCAGCATAATTCACACAAATGAGGCCTAGTGCATGAGTTTATGAGCGGATCAGCTGCCTTATAGAAACTGATCAGCCGAACACACACTGAACAGGTTGTGAATAACACACACTCTCAGAAACACAATGACTGCATCATTTCTCACCTGCACACGACCTGGTTTTCCAGATCTTCATTAGGAGGATGATGATGGCTGCTAAATGGGACAGATCCCCCGTCAGTCTGAAGATGTTCATGTTTCTTTGGGTTGTTGAGATGTGTGAAGGGAACGCTTTTAAAGTGCTGATGTTATTCCCTCTAACGGCGTTATAAACACGGTTTTCGCGACTGAAAGATGGCGAGAGCAGCGCGACGTGGCCCGGAGACGTGGCCGACACTGGGAGCTTGACTGCGGGTTGGCTGAGACACGGGATGATGCTGGAGATCCGCGTTGGGAGGAAAATATCGCTGGAAAATAAATGTATTGATTGCGCATGCGTGGGCTTCCTGTAGGGGGCGCGAGGAGGCCCAAAACACCGACTCACCGGCGCCGGTAGAACTGAGAGAAGTCACGAGGAAAAATGTCTGAATTGCGAGAAATAAAGTCAGAGAAATAAAGTTAGAATTGCAAGAAATAAAGTAAGAATAGCAAAATAAAGTCAGAATTGTGAGATATAAAGTCAGAATTGCAAAATAAAGTCAGAATTGTGATAAATAAAGTCAGAATTGTGAGAAATAAAGTCAGAGAAATAAAGTCAGAATTGCAAGAAATAAAGTGAGATTTGTGAGAAAAATTCAGAATAGTGAGCAAAAAATCTGATTTGCAAAAAATAAAGTCAGAATTGCGAGAAATAAAGTCAGAATTGCAAAATAAAGTCAGAATTGTAAGAAATAAAGTCAGAACTGTGAGAAATAAAGTCAGAGAAATAAAGTCAGAATTGCAAAATAAAGTCAGAATTGTGAGAAATAAAGTCAGAATTGTGAGAAATAAAGTCAGAATTGCAAGAAATAAAGTGAGATTTGTGAGAAAAATTCAGAATAGTGAGCAAAAAATCTGATTTGCAAAAAATAAAGTCAGAATTGCGAGAAATAAAGTCAGAGAAAAAAAGGCAGAATTGCAGAATAAAGTCAGAATTGTGAGAAATAAAGTCAGAATTGTGAGAAATAAAGTCAGAGAAATAAAGTCAGAATTGCAAGAAATAAAGTGAGATTTGTGAGAAAAATTCAGAATAGTGAGCAAAAAATCTGATTTGCAAAAAATAAAGTCAGAATTGCGAGAAATAAAGTCAGAATTGTGAGAAATAAAGTCAGAGAAATAAAGTCAGAACTGTGAGAAATAAAGTCAGAGAAATAAAGTCAGAACTGTGAGAAATAAAGTCAGAATTGCAAGAAATAAAGTGAGATTTGTGAGAAAAATTCAGAATAGTGAGCAAAAAATCTGATTTGCAAAAAATAAAGTCAGAATTGCGAGAAATAAAGTCAGAATTGCGAGAAATAAAGTCAGAACTGTGAGAAATAAAGTCAGAGAAATAAAGTCAGAATTGTGAGAAATAAAGTCAGAATTGCAAAATAAAGTCAGAACTGTGAGAAATAAAGTCAGAGAAATAAAGCCAGAATTGATAGAAATAAAGTCAGATTTCAAGTATTTAAATGTGACACTTAAATGTAAATCGATTATGTCCTACAATTTATCCATTAATCCCACGACTGTGATTGGTCCGCGGAGACCAGTGACACGTGACTCCAGCAGAATGATGATCCGCCCTTCCTCTCGGCTTTATATTTCTGTGGAGTTGTGTGTGTCCTGGGAAGGGTGTGAAGTTTACTGGATCCTGTTCACGAGGATCTCCAACACACACCTAAACCATGTCATCGCTGAAACTTTAATGCAGAAATATCCTCAAATATTACGTTATCCATAGCAATTTCACAGTAAAAATACAGAAAAAAAATCTATATTTATGATGTGCAAATGTCAAGAGGATGAATGGGAGGATTCTAATTAAAGCGGTTTTTGCTTTTAATTCAGTTGTATTTATCCATTTATCGGAACAAAAACACAAATTAAAAAAGTTGAAGCTTTCACAACATATTATTTAAAAGCAGAATAATGTCTGTGTAAATGGCTTTATTTTAGCTTTGCATAATAACATCATATATGAAGCAGAATTAGCAGACAGAACAATTCTGCTTCAGAATGAAACCAAAAGTAGATTTATTACAGAGCAATTTAATAACCTACGTCAGGAGAATGAAATCACCAAACACTTGATTTACACCATGAAAAATATGTCTACAAACCAAACCCTGCAATTAACTATCAACTACATACACTTATGGTTAGACACTTTGTGTTGTGCACATAAAAACAGACACCATTTTACTTAATATGTAAATTCATTAAGAAAAAAATGTCTTGCATTGGTCCTAAGATGTTCAGACGACTGCATGAGAAGTTCAGTTTATACGAACAAAACAAACACAGAGAACACGAGGGGAGGCACAATATGAGATTTTGAGTTAATACCTCCATATATTTACAAAACTAATATGTTCTATTAGATATGATCTTTCATTTTTCCACTCCACCTGTAGCACAATTACAGTACAGTCCATTGGCTGGAAGAAGATATCATTTGTTTCCCAAAGCTTTCATTTTCCTGAGATGTAACAGACAAACTACACTCTAAAAAAAAAAATGCAGGGTTGTTTTAACCCAAATTTGGGTCAAATCTGGAAAAACCCAACCATTGGGTTAAAAATGTAACCCAACGGCTGGGTTAGTCCATATTTGACACAAATTTGGGTTGAAACAACACTGCATTTTTTTTTTTTTTTTTCGTGTGTAAGCCTTTGGTTTTAACTCGGGCCCAGAACTGAGGTTTGATGTCGAGTGTTCACTCCTCCTGAGGTCTCAGCACGAACACGGCGTCGTCCAGCATGTAGTAATCCCTGTACATGTCTCCCTCGCACAGGTACGGCAGGCGTGTGACGGCCTCCAGCTCGAAGCCCATCTTCAGGAACACGTCCGAGTTGAGCTGGGTCACCTGATCTTCCCACGACTTGCCCTCCAGCTCGATGTGTTCCTTGGGTCGCACCCAGCTCCCGCCTGGAAGATAATGAACACTCAGCAGGTCATAATCGTGAACTATACTACGCTTACTTACCACACATCAAGACACTGATGATCAGAGGCGTGATTATTTATTCAACACTCTGTCAGGTTTTTGTTCTGACTAATTTGTTACGCATTTCATGCATTGGAACTGCGAGAAATAGTCAGAATTTATAGATAATTTCTTGCAATAGGCTTTATGCCGAGCGTCACGTGACCAAGCCGGAAAACAGATCACATCGCTTCCGATGCAGGTCTTTTGTATGTGGTTCATGAAATTTTTTGCGGTTTTACTCAAGATAACTTAAAAGTAGCAAGCAAAAATGAGCATAACCAATGCATAATGCATAACTGCATGTGCAGATTGATATTTAAAAGTTTTTTTATTTTTCTTCTTCACACTAACGTTTAGATATTTAAATAGCATAAAACACCAATAACAAAGTGAACTTAGTAGGTTAGCTGATTACCTTAAAAATCCATAGATATCGTAGTTCGTTCTTACGACCGTTAACACTTTCTCTGACAAGCGGATGCAATGAGACCCGTTTTCCGGTTTGGTCACGTGACGCTCGGCATAAAGCCTATTATGAGTTTAAATCAGAATAGCGAGAGAAACTCGTAATTGCAGGAAATAACTGTCAGAATTGTGAGAAATAAAGTCAGAATTGCAAGTCAAAATTGCAAAAATAATGAAGTCAAAATTGTGAGAAATAAACAGACTTGTGAGATATATACTTAAAATTGCAAGAAAAAAAACTAAATTGGAAGAAAGTGTCAGATTTCGCAATTCTGACTTTATTTCTCGCATTTCTGACTTTATTTCTCGCAATTTTGAGTGAGAAATAAAGTCAGACTTATGAAAAATAAAGTCAGAATTGCAAGAAAGTCAGAATTGTGATAAATAAACTCAGACTTATGAGAAATAAACTGAAAATTCCAAGAAAAAACTCAATTACGAGAAAAAGTCAGAATTGCGAGAAAAATTTCTCAAGTCAGGAATCTGAAAAATCACCAAATAAAAAAATAATTAAAGTCACCATGAAATAAAAATGGATAATTCTCATTATTTATGGAATATTGTAGTGTTTATTATAAATGATTTATCGGTGCGCATCATTAATGTTCCTCATAATCTTGAATCAGAATAAGTTGAATAAGTTCCTCTTGCAGAATCTCTTCTCTGATGATGTGGGCGGGGCTATAACCTGTCAATCACATGAGATCCACCAATAGCAAACCACAACCATCCAATCAACTCCACACAGACACAATCAAGCCCCGCCCACATGTGTTCTTGTTCCAGAATTGTTTCCCTCAGATATACGACACAATAGAGGAGAAAAGCCTAGCGCAACTTCACTTTCATGCCGAAATATTGTATTCACTGGCATGTCAACAAATTCTGAGTATTTCCTCTAAGGTAATGAGATTTTACCTGTGTAAGCGTGTTGTAGATAATGCACCTTCTAGCAGACACTCATGAATTGATCAGTAGTTCTGGTTTCAGCGATCATCTTACCCGTCTCCACATAAGGCTGAAAGGGCACAACGGCTGCCAAGACGAGCCGTCCCGTTCCCGGCACCAGGGATTTCTTGATGTCCCTCAGGAGTTGAAGAGGCTCGTCGCAGCGATCCAGCAGGTTCAGGCAGCTGATCAGGTCGAACTGGAAACCGGTCTGGTGCCACTCATCGACTCCCAACAAGCTGAGGATTCAAAGTCAAGCACAGACTCGCCTCAGTGCAGGAATAATGTGCAGCGAATCCTCATTCAGAGGCATCTTTACCTGGAACTAGGGATCCACGACATATCGGCCACCATATCGGTATCAACCGATATATGAGCATTTTTAATGTTATCGGTTTGATAAGAAAATTTGGCTGATGTATTAAAGCCGATAAATAATGTATTATCTCCGTCAGCTGAGACTCTTCAGATGCGCACTGTTCAACATGATGGTTTTGAATTGCTTGAAACATGATTAAAATCACTTCAAAAAGGAAAATACAATAAAGCGCAAGTCTGTCATATCGGCCACATAAAATTATTATGAAAACATCATTATAATTGTGTGATTGGGACATGATGAGACTTTTTTTTTTTGCAATCAGGCTCTCAAATTATACAAAAATGTATTGGCCAATATATCGGTTATCGGCTTTCAAATATAAAGAATTATCGGTATCGGCCAAAATTGTCATATCAGTGCATCGGTATTTTTATTATATTAGACAATAGGCATATAGAAAATTAAATGCCAGGAAGAAGCGTATGTATTATTTACGCTAAAATCAATGTACTATTAACTGCAAGGCCAGCAAGAGCACAAATGACACATCAATAGAGTCTTTTCATTCCACATTCAGCTTTAATATGTGTTAACTGCAAAAAAATGACGTTCTTCCTCAGTAATTCTGCTTGTTTTGCAGTAACAATACATCTAAATATTCTTAAATCAAGATACATTTACTGGAGAAGCAAAATGACTTCAGGTATTATTAGGTCTTGTTTAGTAAAAACTGTTTATGCTTAAAACATGAACAAATATCTGCCAACGGGGTCAGAAAAAGACATTTTTTCTTGTTTTAAGCATAAACTCACTTAATTTTGATAATTTATTCATGAAACAAGACTTAATATCTTTTTACATTTTTATTCCCAAGTAAATGTGTTTAGATTTAAGAATGTTCGGATGTTGTTAATGTAAAACAAGACAAAAACACTGAGTTAGAAAATAATTGTTTGCAATGATGTCAGTGAATTTACTGTTATATAGATCTGTCGGACTGCACACGAAAACAATGCATATTTTATTAATACTCCAAGTCTATTTATTTAACATAAAGTCATGTAAATTATACATTTAGTATATAAATGCAGTACAAATATCTATATATAAAGAATTATCGGTATCAGGCTAAATGTTCATATCGGTGCATGCCTACCTGTAACTCTTTCTTTGTAGGTGCCACTTCATGGGCGTCGAGACCTCAGTGGTGAACACCTCATTAAAGTGACATCCCATCACTTCTGTGACGCCTCCATCCCCGGCTCCCAGATCCAGCATCCGACGTCCTTTCCATTCGGGCTCGATCTGGAGGAGGCGCCGAAACTGATCCTTGGAAAACACAAACATGGAGCCGCGGCCCAGAAAGCTGCGGACCAACAGGACAAACTAATGATCTCTGCAACGGACGTGAATCCATCAAAACTAACTTTATTCTAGCGCTGCTGTAAAGCCTAAACAATCTCTGTTACTGTAATCTCCTGTTATCACTGTAAAGCTGCTGAGAAACAATATACAGGTGAAACTCGAAAAATTAGAATATCGTGCAAAAGTTCAGTAATTCAACTTAAAAGGTGAAACTAATATACTATATAGACTCATTACATGCAAAGTGAGATTTTTCAAGCCTTTATTTGTTATAATTGTGATGATTATGGCTTACAGATATGAAAACCTTTTCACAATATTCTAATTTTGAATTTGGGGTTTTCATAAGCTGTAAGCCATAATCATCAACATTATAACAAATAAAGGCTTCTCAAATAAAAATATCTCACTTTGCATGTAATGAGTCTATATAATATATTAGTTTCACCGTTTTAAGTTGAATTGAACTGAAATAAATGAACTTTTGCACCATATTCTAATTTTTGTCACATGTCGCACGGGTATATTTGTGGCAATAGCCATAAATACATTGTATGGGTCAAAATTATAAATAATTATTTTATGCCAAAGATCATTAGGATATTAAGTAAAGATCATGTTCCATGAAGATATTTTGTAAATTTCCTACCGTAAATATATTAAAAAATATATTTTTGTGAGTGAATGCAGCAAAATCGCGAACATAAATGCACAACTTTAAAGGCGATTTTCTCAATGTTTCGATTTTTTTTGCACCCTCATATTCCAGATTTTCAAATAATTGTATCTCGGCCAAATATTGTCCTATCCTAACCAACCATACATCAATGGAAATCTTATTTATTCAGTTTTCAGATGATTTATAAATCTCAATTTCAATAAATTGACCCTTGTGATATATAAATGAAGGTGACTTGACTTGACAGGATCAGACGACGAAGCACTCATCAGAACAGGCATTGGAGAGAATCAGGGATGGTTACCCGTTGATTGAGGTGCGAGAAACGATGGGGCTGAAGATGGTGGAGAAGAGCGAGTGGTAAAGCTGTGTGAAAAGCCAGCTGGATTTCTCCTCGCTCTTCTGGAGGAACGCCAGCGTCTCCTCATCCAGACGACTCTGAACAAACACGGAGCGAACGCTTTCTCCCAGCAGGTCTGGACTGCACCGGTACCACTGCGAACACATTTACACTCAGACTTCAACAAGTGCTGGTTAACCATCTCACATGAAACAACCACCAAAGAAGTATTAAGTTCCTTTGCAAAAAAGAAAAAAAAAATTAGGGGTGCACCGATATGAAAATTTTGGCCGATATGATAATTCTTAATATTTGAAAGCCGATAACCAATATATATTGGCCGATAAATTTAAATTTTTGAGAGCCTGATTACAAAAACAAAAGACTCCATTAAATCCATGTCCCAAGCTAGGGATGCATTGATATGAACATTTTGGCCAATACGCAATACCGATAACCGATAATTCTTTATATTTGAAAGCCGATAACCGATATATTGGCCGATAAATTTAAATTTTTGAGAGCCTGATTACAAAAACAAAAGTCTCCATTAAAATCAATGTCCCAAGCTAGGGATGCACCGATATGAACATTTTGGCCAATACCGATAATTCTTAATATTTGAAAGCCAATAACCGATACATTAGCCGATAAATTTTAATTTTTGAGAGCCTGATTACAAAAACAAAAGTCTCCATTAAATCCATGTCCCAAGCTAGGGATGCACCGATATGAACATTTTGGCCAATACCGATAATTCTTAATATTTGAAAGCCGATAACCGATATATTGGCCGATAAATTTAAATTTTTGAGAGCCTGATTACAAAAACAAAAGTCTCCATTAAAATCAATGTCTCAAGCTAGGGATGCACCGATATGAACATTTTGGCCAATACCGATAATTCTTAATATTTGAAAGCCGATAACCGATACATTAGCCGATAAATTTTAATTTTTGAGAGCCTGATTACAAAAACAAAAGTCTCCATTAAATCCATGTCCCAAGCTAGGGATGCACCGATATGAACATTTTGGCCAATACCGATAATTCTTAATATTTGAAAGCCGATAACCGATATATTGGCCGATAAATTTAAATTTTTGAGAGCCTGATTACAAAAACAAAAGTCTCCATTAAATCCATGTCCCAAGCTAGGGATGCACCGATATGAACATTTTGGCCAATACCGATAATTCTTAATATTTGAAAGCCGATAACCGATATATTGGCCGATAAATTTTAATTGATATGAACATTTTGGCCAATACGCAATACCGATAACTCTTTATATTTGAAAGCCAATAACCGATATATTGGCTGACAAATATAAATCCAAATTATTATATCATTTTTGAGAGCCTGATTACAAAAACAAAAGTCTCATCATGTCCCAATCACACAATTATAATGATGTTCTGATTATAATGTTATGTAGCCGTCTAGCCGATATGACAGACTTGCGCTGCACATGTTGCACTTTACTGTATTTTCCTTTTTGAAGTGATTTCAATCAAATTTCAAGAAATTCAAAAGCATCATGTTGAACAGTGCGCATCTGAAACGTCTCAGCTGACGGAAATAATAAATTATTTATCGGTTTTAATATATCAGCCATATTTTTTTATCGGGCCGATAACGATAACATTAAAAGCAATACCGATACGGTGGCTGATATATCGTCCATCCCTAATGAAAAGACATTAGGGGAACGATCTGCAAACCTAAAAAAAGTTCTATTGAAAATTTAAAATGGTGGCATTTTGATATGCATTATGGTAATGAATTAAATGAAATCACACCCAAATCCATGGTAATACCATGGTAATTTGTATTAGTGTAAATGCAACCACAGTCTGTATCTGTAGTACTAATTGTAAATGTATGAAACCATGCTGTCAAAAACCATAGTAGTTCCATAGTACTACAATAGTGATCATTTCAAATCGGTAATACCATGGTATTCTGATATATTCATGTACCATAGTATTGTCATGGTGATCCAGATGTACTTCTATGGTGCTACCATGGTAAATGTCCAATAAACATAATAATACCTTGGTATTATTTGGTATTAGCCTAAATGCAACAACAATAATGGTTTCAATTCCATGGTACTAAGGTCCTGGAAACTGTATTTAGATGGTGGACTTCATAATGTCACCATTTGTAAATGTTTGAAGATATTAAGGTACAAAAAGCATAATGTCTTGCTGCCTGGTAAATGTCTCCACAACAGCTTCTGTTACAGGTGAACGAGCTTCTCACCTGCTGGACTTCATGCCCAGGTGTTTCAGTCTCAGACTCCATGTTCATGAACAGAGATCGAGCCAGTGGACTGCGAACATACTTCCCAGTCCACATCTTTCGTATCGCCAGGAGAAAAGACACGTAAAACAGCAGCCAAGAGATGAAGATCAGGATCCTCATCTGTGGAGGACACATAGTGAACAACTGACCGACTGAGGCAATGTGAGAGACTCGTCCAGAAACATAAATGATCAGCCCGCTATTCGACAGACTAACAAACAAACAAACCTGAAGGTGTGGTGCTGTTTAGACACACACATCTTTGTTAAGTATAATCTGAAGGACAAACACATTTGGCACTAATCAGCTGAGTCCCTTTGGAAGAAAAAAAAAGTTCACTTCCTGATTGTGTTACATTTAAAAGAAGCCGGTGAATCACGTGACCGGTCATGTGTGACATCACCGCTAGGCGGCGCGTGTCAGTGGCGAGAAATACAGTAGCCTGTATAATATGAACGTTTTACACTTTCAGTGGTTTATTATAGAGAAGATCTTGAAGTTATTTTACATGCACTGTAATATTTATGCTCTTTCTCTTTCATCCTCTCTGTCTGACTGACTGTGTGTCAGTGATTTTGTTAACAGTTTGATTCTCAACTTACTAACATAACAGATAGTTAAATGTAAATACCGTAGTTAAAAGAAACTTACAAAACTTGCAAATGTGAAAAGATATTCAAAATTACAAAAAAAATAGATACCTGGATTAATAATTATATTTAAAAAATCTTCTAGGTTGTATGGCTCCATCACAGTTATACATATAGGCTATATAATAAAAATTATAATAATAAAGAATAATGTGTGTGTGTGTGTGTGTGTGTGTGTGTGTGTGTGTGTGTGTGTGTGTGTGTGTGTGTGTGTGTGTGTGTGTGTGTGTGTGTGTGTGTGTGTGTGTGTGTGTGTGTGTGTGTGTGTGTGTGTGTGTGTGTGTGTGTGTGTGTGTGTGTGTGTGTGTTACTGAACAAAAAACACACACAAGGACAGTTTACACACAAACCTCTAAAAAAAGACAATTAAAAAAGTCTATGAAAAATTATGGTATAATAAAAAGATGTCACAAAATAGGGATGTAAAACGCAATCATTTGGATAATATTAGCTTTTCTTAATGTATTCTAAAGACAATTATTATATGACTGATGACAGCCCTATAGTTTTGAACATAAATAAAGTGTACACAAATAATAATAAACAAGTTTCCATAGAAATATTAACAGTCATGTTTCACAGATTTCTGCATTGATATACTCTTAAAATGTAACTATAAGAAACTCAATGGTGTGAACAAGAAAGTATTTTTTCAGAGAAACCATCAGAAAAGTGATGTTTTATTTATGAAAAATAAAAGGTTATTAAATGTTATAATGTAATTCATACCAGATCTCTTCTACAAAACTGATCTATGCAAAGATTGTACATGGGTTACTCTGTACAACGTGTGCGCGCACTTTCACACGTCAGTCAGCGCGCGCGCCACGTTAGCTCCTCCTCCTGCGCGCGCTCCCGAGGACACAATAACTCTCAGTGCAATGTCTCAGACTGACACATGCAATGCGTTATTATACATAGGCACATCATATTCAAATAACTTTCAACCATTAAAGAAGAAAAATAGATAATGAAATAGATTATATAGGCTACGTTTACTGACGGGAATAAAATTGTTAAATGTATAACAACTAAAAGAACTAGAGTTGTTCTGCTTTACTGACTCAAGATGCTCACAGACATGATAGAAGGAGAATTTGATTTGAAAGAGGAAGAACCCTGGTATGATCATCAAGATCTGGAACATGGTGAGTTTAAGTCTTTATTTATTTAACTGGGCCTATTGCTGAAGTGCAAGTTTATAATAGGCAACTTTTAAAATGAAAATATAGTCTAGATTGTAGTAGCGGATCCAGGTTATAAATATTTGCGCTAGTTTATGATAAACATCTTGTAAACTTTATATTCTAATCGCTGAACACATCAGACACACTTTTCGCAGAATTCAATTCTAATGTCCTTGCGTTATTCGGCCTGAGGGTGGCGCTATAATGATGATTGAAATACTTTAGTACACACGACAAACGCATAGAATGTTATGCCATATTAGAATTGCCTTAATGTATTTATAATTGCCTTAATTTATTGCGTCCGAATGTTGTTTTACAATGTTGCAAGTTAGGAATACCATTGAGGAAAACAAAATCATATCTATTCTCAGAACAAACATAAAACAAACACAACAGAACTGCTGTATATAAAGACTATTCACATGAGCACATTTAAACTAATACTTTTATTAATTTGATACGCTACTCCACATACGAAGGACAGACATGCCAACCAGTTACTGACTTGATGCACACACATATCTCAAGGTTATTTTTTTTATTAGTAGTATTATAATTATTATTTAACCTACATATCTGAAGGTTATCGTATTGGTTTTGGACCGAGGTTTACGTAAGGTCACGTGACAATAAGTGGGGCAGCCAGAAATCTGCCCCAATGATTCTCTATGAGAGCGCACTGCAGTTCCATTTCTCACCACAGATTTACATTGGAAAACTGTGGGGGCGCTGTTGAGCTAGAGCGGACTGAGACCGGCTGCCCTGCTTAGTATCATAATAATATGCCTGCCGAATACGCTTCATTTTAATATATCCTGCTCACTTTACGACTTAAAATAGTATAGAAAATCCAAAAAATAGTTGTTGCAGAATAATTTATTATTAATTCAGTACGTATAGAGGTCTATGTTTGGATGAATGTTTTGGTGTGGCTCTGCCTGTTTGCAATATATATATATAAAAAAAAGTATCTTCGTCTAGTCTCATGTCATAATTTCATCTCATTTGTTCACGAATATCTAATTGACACACGAAAGCGCTGAGGATTGAAGGAAATATTTGTTGTCTGACTATCCACCACATCCTGAGAGTCTGTTTCATATCGGAGACTGAAATCAGCGCTGTGTGAAAATCAGTATTCTCTCAGTTTCCTGATCTCAGGTGTGAGTGTGTGTGTGTGTGTCTGTGTGTGTGAGTAAGTGAATGTCAGCTGTAACCTGATGTCCTAATGTCTGCATAGATAAACAATCCAAATGTAAAATTGTTCCAATTCCTGTAAAGACAAATTATTAGTGTTATTTTTGACTTGCTGGGGTTGTTCAGTATCAGTTCCTCAGCAGATTATCCTCCTTTTCTCCTGCAGATCTTCGTTTAGCTGCTGAATTGGGTAAAAATTTACTGGAGCAGAACAGAGACTTAGAGCAGACACTCCAACAGATGCAGGAGACCAACCAGGACCAGCTGCAGGAGATAGAGGTATACATCTGTCTGTCTATACATCTATCTATCTATCCATCCATCCATCCATCCATCAAATGCACAGATACCATACAGATAACGTGCAGTCTTGTGCATTTTCGATTATTGTCATCAAAATCGTAGCTATAGTTACATCTGAAAATACTGAGAGTGCACTGTTATATTGACAACATGACTAAGCATTTTGACTATATTCTTTGTGAACAATGACATAAATACTTACTTTTGAGATATGAACTAAAGATTGAGCAAGTTACAGGCTTTTGCAGTAATCCAGTGTTCTGCTGTTAATACAAATTGTTTTGAGAAATGCACGTACTGGTTTGCAAATATTAAGTATGATTTGTACCAAAGCGACCGAGACAAACTGAACACAGACGAGGGAACTGAGCCTGTCAGATTTGAGTGTAATGTTATGTTCTCTGTCATCCAGTATCTTTCTAAACAGGTAGATGTGCTGAGGTCAGAGAACGATCAGCACGCTCGAGTCTCTGAGCAGCTCGACTCGACGGCACGAGATCTGGAGCTGAGGAACCAGAGGCTGGTGCTGGAGAACCGGGCGGCCCAGATGAAGATCCAGGGGTGAGGCTTCAAACACCTCCGCAAATGACAGTCGATGCTTTAACCCTCTGGAGCTCTTCGCCTGGCGGTCAAAAATGACCGAAATGTGATTTTTTATTTCAATGATATTAATGTACTATTTTTTAGTTTGATGTTTTTTTATTGAATATTTTGTATTTTGGGGGGATTTTATGGTACTAAATTATATTTACGCTGTATTTATTATAATCCATTTATTCACTTTTTTAACATAAACTTAAACTGTGGTAAATCTTGAATGCTTTAGAGCGACAGACTGAAGTTTGATCTCTTTTTGAAGACGAGACTCGGCAGATTATTGATGAAGTGTGAAAAGTTTTTAAAAAGTGAACTTTGAAAAGTTACGGAATTTTACGTTTATCGCTATAACATTTTTTTATGTGAAATATATATATATTTAAAGACATGTTTTACTCTAACACTGTGAGAAAATCAAAGCCATAAATCAAGCTGTGTTTCAAATTTGAGCTTGATATCTCAGTAAATGAGCGTTCAGTGAGAGCGGCTGCAGTACCGAACGCTTCCACTAGAGGAAACTCGTCTTTATTCATTTCCAATGCGTCATTTCTGACCGCGTGGAGCACAAGTGTGACTATTTCTTACAGGACCATTTAACCTGTTCGAATCATGTCCATGATGTTATTTATTGTGGTCACACAGCAAGTGCCAAAACCGTTACCAAGTTTTGTACCATTCCGATGAAGAAAAAAAACGAAATGACGGAAGAATAACTCCTCTCCTCCTCACTCCTGCAGGCTCACAGAGACGGTGGACGCGCTGCAGACTCAGATAGAGGAGCTGCAGAGAGACATGAAGAGCCTGAAACTGGTTTCTGCAGAACACACCCGGTCTAATGCACATCTGGATTCACCACTGCAGGATCGTGTTCAGGGACTCACGTGCTGCAAGTGTCGATTACACAAGTACGTTTTTGCACGTTTTAATACACACTGTTTTTGGTCAGTTAAACCTGTAGTTATAATAGTGGCCTTTCAGTCAAGTGGATTAGTAATTTATTCATATAGCACATTTCATACACAATGGTTATTCAAAGTGCTTTACATAGAAAATGAGTCATAAAATAATCACAACAGATGCATAAGTAGTAAAAATATCATGCATAAGAAAATTAAATATCATGCATAAGAAGTAAAAATATCATGCATAAGAAAATTAAATATCATGCGGTAAAAATATCATGCATAAGAAAATTAAATGTGCATAAAAAGGTAAAAATATCATGCATAAATTAAATATCATGCATACAAAGGTAAAAATATCATGCATAAGAAAATTAAATATCATGCATAAGAAGTAAAAATATCATGCATAAGAAAATTAAATATCATGCATAAGAAGTAAAAATATCATGCATAAGAAGTAAAAATATCATGCATAAGAAAATTAAATATCATGCATAAAAATGTAAAAAATCATGCATAAGAAAATTAAATATCATGGATAAGAAGTAAAAATATCATGGATAAGAAAATTAAATATCATGCATAAGAAGTACAAATATCATGCATAAGAAGTAAAAATATCATGCATAAGAAAATTAAATATCATGCATAAGTAAAAATATACATAAGAAAATTAAATATCGTGCATAAGAAGTAAGAATATACATAAGAAAATTAAATATCATGCATAAGTAAAAATATACATAAGAAAATTAAATATCATGCATAAGAAGTAAAAATATCATGCATAAGAAAATTAAATATCATGCATAAGAAAATTAAATATCATGCATAAAAATGTAAAAAATATCATGCATAAGAAAATTAAATATCATGCATAAGAAGTAAAAATATCATGCATAAGAAAATTTAATATCATGCATAGGAAGTAAAAATATACATAAGAAAATTAAATATCGTGCATAAGAAGTAAAAATATCAAACATAAGAAAATTAAATATCATGCATAAGTAAAAATATACATAAGAAAATTAAATATAATGCATAAGAAGTAAAAATATCATGCATAAGAAAATTAAATATCATGCATAAGTAAAAATATACATAAGAAAATTAAATATCGTGCATAAGAAGTAAAAATATACATAAGAAAATTAAATATCATGCATAAGTAAAAATATACATAAGAAAATTAAATATCATGCATAAGAAGTAAAAATATCATGCATAAGAAAATTAAATATCATGCATAAGAAAATTAAATATCATGCATAAAAATGTAAAAAATATCATGCATAAGAAAATTAAATATCATGCATAAGAAGTAAAAATATCATGCATAAGAAAATTTAATATCATGCATAGGAAGTAAAAATATACATAAGAAAATTAAATATCGTGCATAAGAAGTAAAAATATCAAACATAAGAAAATTAAATATCATGCATAAGTAAAAATATACATAAGAAAATTAAATATAATGCATAAGAAGTAAAAATATCATGCATAAGAAAATTAAATATCATGCATAAGTAAAAAATATCATGCATAAGAAAATTAAATATCATGCATAAGTAAAAATATCATGCATAAGAAAATTAAATATCATGCATAAGAAGTAAAAATATCATGCATAAGAAAATTAAATATCATGCAAAAGAAGTAAAAATATCATGCATAAGAAAATTAAATATCATGCATAGGAAGTAAAAATATACATAAGAAAATGAAATATCGTGCATAAGAATTAAAAATATCAAACATAAGAAAATTAAATATCATGCATAAGAAGTAAAAATATCATGCATAAGAAAATTAAATATCATGCAAAAGAAGTAAAAATATCATGCATAAGAAAATTAAATATCATGCATAAGAAGTACAAATATCATGCATAAGTAAAAATATCATGCATAAGAAAATTAAATATCATGCATAAGTAAAAATATACATAAGAAAATTAAATATCGTGCATAAGAAGTAAAAATATACATAAGAAAATTAAATATCATGCATAAGTAAAAATATACATAAGAAAATTAAATATCATGCATAAGAAGTAAAAATATCATGCATAAGAAAATTAAATATCATGCATAAGAAAATTAAATATCATGCATAAAAATTTAAAAAATATCATGCATAAGAAAATTAAATATCATGCATAAGAAGTAAAAATATCATGCCTAAGAAAATTAAATATCATGCATAGGAAGTAAAAATATACATAAGAAAATTAAATATCGTGCATAAGAAGTAAAAATATCAAACATAAGAAAATTAAATATCATGCATAAGTAAAAATATACATAAGAAAATTAAATATAATGCATAAGAAGTAAAAATATCATGCATAAGAAAATTAAATATCATGCATAAGTAAAAAATATCATGCATAAGAAAATTAAATATCATGCATAAGTAAAAATACTGTGCATAAGAAAATTAAATATCATGCATAAGAAGTACAAATATCATGCATAAGAAAATTAAATATCATGCAAAAGAAGTAAAAATATCATGCATAAGAAAATTAAATATCATGCATAGGAAGTAAAAATATACATAAGAAAATGAAATATCGTGCATAAGAATTAAAAATATCAAACATAAGAAAATTAAATATCATGCATAAGTAAAAATATACATAAGAAAATTAAATATAATGCATAAGAAGTAAAAATACCATGCATAAGAAAATTAAATATCATGCATAAGTAAAAAATATCATGCATAAGAAAATTAAATATCATGCATAAGTAAAAATACCATGCATAAGAAAATTAAATATCATGCAAAAGAAAATTAAATATCATGCATAAAAAAATAAAATAGAAAAGAAAAAGAACTGGCCTGTGCGTAGGTTTCAGACCGAACGTCCTTCCCAAACATTATAAACCTCTTAATCTGCTGGAGTTAGCATGGACAGGGTTGTATGATGCAAGAACAGGAAAATATGATTTATATATTTAACATTTTCCTCCATGTACTTTACTCCAAAAAATAATTTTGATTTCACAATTGCGACATTTCTCACAATTCCAACATTATTTCTTCCAATTGCAACTTTATATCTAATAATTTCTCACTTTATTGCACATAATTATGACTTTATATTTAACAATGTGACGTTATATCTTGCCGTGACAAAAACATTGTTTATTCAATGCTTTTTTTTTTGGATGTTCGTTTATCATTTTTTAAATGTTACTCGTTTCGGAATGTTCAGAGAACATTCAAAAGTAACGTTCAAAATGTTAAAAAATTATAAAATGGAATGTTCCCTAAACACTCGTATAACCAAGGTGTTTTGGTAACACTTTACAATAAGGTTTATTAGTTAACATTATGTAATGTATTAACTAACATGAACTTACAATGAGCAATACATTTGTTACAGTATCTATTAATCTTTGTTAATGTTAGCTAATAAAAAAACAACAGTTCATTGTAACTTCTAACGTCAACAAATACAGCCTTTGATTTTAATAACGTATTAGTAAATGTTGAAATTAATATGAACTAGGATTAATAAATGCTGTAGAAGTATTGTTCATTCTTAGTTCATGTTAACTAATGAGTAAAGTGTTAACCATTTGTTTTTTTTAATGGATGTTTAAATGTTTTCACAACTTAATGGGCCATGCCCTTAATTATGCAGAACTTTAAGGCTTAATATAATTTAAACAGATGAATTATAAAAAAATTCACCCGCCTCACAGTCGACATGAAGGGCAAAATTAGCGATATAGACCAAAACCACTTTTTGCACCAGGCTGTAAACATGTTTTATTCTGCTGTAAAGTTGGGCATTTTAACATGAGGGTCTATGGGATTGAGTCTCTTCTGCAGCCGGCCTCTAGTGGCCAGTGGAGGAACTGCAGTTTAACTCACTTCAGTGTTGGGTTCAAGAGAGAGACCGGAATTAGTTTGAACACAACTTAATGGGAACATTAGCAAAACGTTCTTAGAACATATGTTTGTTAGCTTTGACTAATGGCTCTGGTTTTTCATTTCAGGCACTCTTCCCATGAGCTCTCCACTTCCAGCAGCATCTGTTCTCTGAACCGGGAGGACCAGGAGGAGTTGTGGGAGCTCTTGCGCTCGTCCCGTTCCCTGCAGGCCCAGTTGCACACGGAGCGCGCTCAGAGAGCGTGTGCTGAGCGAGAAGCCCATGTTCTGGCCCGCGAGCTCAGCGAACTGGAGCCCAAAGCGGCGCTGATGGGAGTTTACAAGAGCCGGCTCACCGAGACCGAAGCTGAGGTCCGGGAGCTACGACTTCTGTTGAGCTCCAGCACACAAAAACACAACGAGTCCCTCCCATTGGATGATGATGATGAAGTGGGCGTGGCCAGTCACAGGGGGCGTGGCCTGCAGTCGCTCGGTGACGAGCATCATGGGATATCTCTGCTGAACGAGATGGATGCGCAATATATCGCCCTGAAGGAGAAATACGACACGCTCCTGCGCCGCTGCGAGGATGAGACGTGCGCGCAGAGACACAAAGCTCAAACACACACACACACACACACTCAGCAGCCCGCATACAAAACCCTGTTTACTGAGATTTTCACCTTCATTAAGAAGAGCAAAGAGGACCTGAAGGAAAACAGGACCACGCCAGTATGAGGATTTGCATCTTTAGAGATTTGTGCTTTGCACTGGAAAAAAATAGATGTAGAAACAATTTTCATTCAGAAATGTAATTTCACAAACAAAATAATGGCACGTAAAACATGAAAGTTTGAAGTGTTTTCTTGTAAAACTTAAAAAACTCTTTTTTACAGTGCAGTTGAACAAGGCTTATTCTGACAGAACCAGGACATGAATATGAATATGATATGAATGTTTATATGAATGCACTTTGAAAACATTTCTGAATGTCACTGTAAAAAGAAATGAACTGACAGTGCTGTAACTGACTTCTGAAGCTAATATTGTGTTTTATAGTGGAGTGAAACTTCAAATTATACTATATTAATGATCTAGGAATAATATAGTAAATAATCTTGTAAGTGTAATGTGTCCTTTGAAAATCACCATACCCAGAAACAATTATTTATTAAAAATCATTGTAAATTAAAGGCAAATTAAGCAATGCAAACATTAAATCGACACAAATATTTATAAATATTTTAATATTTATATTATTTAATTATATAACCTTAGAATATTATACAATTTAAATAAATAATTGATCTGCAATACAGTAATGTGAAAATAATGTAATGCAAAGATAATTTGTAATGCAAAACTTGATTTATTTTGAATATTAGGAAAACAAAGCTTTGTGGAATTAAGTCCAGCGCTTTTTTTAGTCAAAATTGATCAGTGCATGTGTCGCATCATCTTTTAAAGGAAACCATTATCTTGCAGCTATCAGTTATTTGCTAAACTTTTTTATTGGCATGTGAACTTTGTGATTATTAGTTCATGTGTTTCAGTCTCAAGTTCTCAACCTTGATAATGTTGTTGGTCATCATTCATCTTGAACTGTGTGTTTGCATCACTGCATGTGACCTTTCACCTTTATCAGCAGTGCAAACGAGGAGCACGAACTCCAAACTCTATTTCACATAGAAATGGACTTGAAACCCAGACTGTCACCTTTGGGCATCAGAGAAGGAAATGCTGCGTCTAATCAAAGTCTTTGATAAGATTTGAGTGACATCAGGCTTTATCAGCCAGACTGAGAGAGAACAGAACAGATGCTTCGTCTATTATCTTCAACACACCCGACTAGATTATAACTGGAGTTTGCACTTTGTTCATATCGTCATATCCGTGTTTTCACTGTTATACGGCAGGGGGCGCTATTACGCATTCTGAAAAAGTGCCGAATATCCGGATCAAATCTCATTACAGCAGATGCAGGTTGGGTTTCAAAAAGTTTTTTTAGAAAATATAAAATCTAAATCGGATAGCGGAGGTGTTCTGGAAGCTATCTATCTAGATTTAAAGAAAGCCTTTGATACAGTAAATCATGAGATTTTGATTAAAGTCCCCCTGTGGTGAAAATCCAGCTTTTAATGTTGTTTATGTGTTTTTAATCTGCTTTAAGACACACCATGTGTAAGTTCATAAGTCGACAGCATTGCTGAGTATTTCCTCCTTAAAACTGCAGTGAACCAAAGACAGTCTCAAAAACACGGTTTGAAATCGCTGGTGTTTCTGACGTCACAAACGACCTTGTAACCAATCAGATCAACGTGTGATCGTCAACCAGTGGATCTCTGAGCTGAGTGAGTGAGTGGAGGCGGGGCTCATTTGCATATTCATAGAACCGCGCATACTAAATGAGGCAAATGTTTAATTTATAATTTTGGTTATCAAAGATGAGTTTTAAGGGATACAATTATTGACTACAGGGGGACTTTTCACAAGCTATCAAATTATAATTTCTTACCAGAGGTGATTAAACGAATCCAGATCATGCCTTGCTGATAGAAAACAGTGTGTTCGGGTAGGCCATAAGACTTCACAAATACAGAAGTGACTAATTCTGTTGGCGTACCTCAAGGTTCAATATTGGGACCTTTAATATTCCGTTTCTATATTAATGACCTGATGTTTGTGCATCTACTGTTCATTTTCAGATGTGTGCTGATGATACAGTTATATTATATATTTGCAAAGCAAACTTCAGAAGAATTATCAGCTCAATATCTCTAATATCTCTCAATATCTCTAAGTTTATAAAACTATTTATTTGTTAAATAGAGATCCAGATGTTAGAAAATGATCATTAGTCCAGGAGTATAAATATTTATGCATAATAGATTCACAACTTAGTTAAGTTAAAAACTTGATTTTAAGGTGTCATTGTTACAGTGTAATGCACTCACTATAGGGTTAAGATTAGTCACATATAATGATGCTTTATTTACTGTTATTACTACAGAATATAGGCAACATATAATGACTGTTAAATAAAGTGTTACCAAAAGTTGCACCTGTTAATATTATTTAAAGAACTTTAGTTTGCATGAACAGCTGCATTTTTATTAACTTATGCTAATAAAGATTAATACAGTAACATGTATTGCTTATTAGTTACTATTAGTTGATGCATTAACTAACGTTACCTAAAGGGACCATTTTTTTGTGATTAAATATTAAAGAAAAAAGAAACGTTTACATTTTCCAGTGCTTTTGTTCAGTTTGCATGTAGTCACTTTATACAACACAGAAGTTTCACATGCATTATAAACACAAAAAATATCAGTTTTAATGTTATAAAATGCATTTCCAGCTATAAAGCAACACGTAGTCATTATTCAGCTAATTTTAGTTAATCATCCGAGATTATCAGTGCATTTAAATCAAAAATATTTTGTCCGTCTTCTATATGAAAACAATAAGACAAGATTTCAGTTGCAACATTTATTCAGAATGATATACATATAAAAAAATGGAGAATGTGACCGCAATGATCCAGCTTATGAATATGAGGAATGCATAAAAACACGTGACAGTGAACGCTTCATATCCAGGTGTGGACGACACACACATGAGTTACAGATGCATGTGAAGGGAATATCAGTCATAATAATAATAATAATAAGATTGATGCAGTCATAATAATAATATGCAATATTTCCCCTGAATATTTAAGAGGCACTTTCTGTCACACCACTTTAACCGTTGAAACAAAGCCGGCAAAACCTCTGATCCACTTGCATGACAATGGGGAAAAAATAATTGTGTTTTTCACAAGAATTAACGTTTAACACTGTTTTCACATTTATTATGAATTTGCGTTTCCAAACAGTCATTCTGAGCTTCCATTCTGACGTAAATCTGCCAATTAATATTCATGAACGGATTAATATATTAGCTTTTTATAGTTTGTTGGTCAGATTTGATCGAAACTGCTCCAGAAACCACAATGTCCGTATGTGTTTTTGGTTATTTGAGTTGTGAACCTTTCAGAAAGTGAACGAGGAAAGTTTACGGCCTTCATTTGACCCAAATTTGAGCAGAAAAATTAATATTTGACAAAGTCAGAAGATCATAGTATTTATGAACCTTCAGATCCGTCGGCCTGTGAAGACATGTTTATATACGGGAAAGAAAAGCTAAACACACTAGTGCTGTGAAACCATTAATCACATCCAAAATAAGTTTGTGTTTACGTAATATATGTGTGTGTGTGTACTGTGTAATTATTTTGTATATCTAAATGCACACACATGCATGTATATATTTAAGAAAAATGTGTTCTATATAATATAAACTATATATACATGCAAATATTTCTCAAATATATACATGAATGTGTGTATTAAGATATACAAAATAATTATACACACACACACACGTGTTATGTAAACTCAAAACTTTTATTTTGGATGCGATGAATGGCATTTAATCGTTGCCCAGCACTAAAAAAACAAAACAATATGCAATAAAACCAAGAAAATTATTAAAGCAAACATTTTTTCTTCAGTCAGCTACACGTACTAAACAATGCCAAAACCTGACAATAAACTCGCAAAGGCCACAAGCAAGATGAAACGAGTTGAACCATGATCTCCTATCATCTTTATTAGAAACAACTACCCATTTTAAATCATAAAAAAGAAAACCAAAAGATAGTCTGAGTACGCGTTCAGCAACTCCTTTCCTTATGCTGAAACGGCAGAATTAAGTCGATCTTCAGCCCTTCTTCTGAGACGCTCGTGTGTGAGTCTGAAGGGTTGGCGTGTGCAGATGCTCCTCCCACCCGCTCAGCCGAGGGCAGCGATTGGTTGGTGTGTTTAGCTCCGCCTCCAGAGACAGACGAGCTGATTGACAGGACCCCAGCGCTCCGAATCTTCCCGTCAGGAGCGAACCGTTCCCTTCAGATACCACATCCCTCCCAAACTCATACAGCACTCCTATTACAACAAACAACAACATCGTTATGAGAACATTATTGCCCATCATCATTTTAAAAACAGGGTTCGTACAGACACTGTAAAATCTAATTCCAGGACTTTAAGCACTACTTTTTAGGTTTTATTCCAAGGACTATAATCAGAGATGTCATTTAACCAACAATATCTTTCTTTATTATCTTTTAAATTCTAAAAAAAGGCAAATAGAGTATAAAAATATACTAATAAAACAAGATGGTACAAATAAAGTGCAGCACATGCAGTGACTGCGGTAACTTTAACTATACTATGACAGAAATATCTATGGAAGAATGAAAAATAAAAAAGGCAATTGCGAATGTTTATCTCACAATTATGACTTTATTTCTCACAATTGCGAGATATAAAGTCACAATTGTGAGATAGTCAGAATTGCGTGAAATAAAGTCGCAATTGCGAGATATAAAGTCAGAATTGCGTGATTTAAAGTCAGAATTGCGAGATATAAAGTCAGAATTGCGTGTTATAAAGTCAGAATTGCGTGTTATAAAGTAAGAAATGCGAGATATAAAGTCAGAATTGCGAGATATAAAGTCACAATTGTGAGATACAGTCAGAATTGCGTGATATAAAGTCAGAATTGCATGAAATAGTCACAATTGCGTGTTATAAAGTCAGAAATGCGAGATATAAAGTCACAATTGTGAGATATAGTCAGAATTGCGTGAAATAAAGTCGCAATTGCGAGATATAAAGTCACAATTGCGAGAT